TGGGTGAGGGGCAGTGCCTCAGCAGCAGTGCTATGGGCAGCCTTGCCCCTTTGCAGACAAGGTGGATAAGGGGTGGTGGCTGTGAGTTCTGGGGCCTGGCACAGGGAGGGAAAATCCCATGGAGGTCTTCCAGCCATCACTCTCCAGCTCTCTGGCTCTGCTCCCTGGGCAGCCAGCCCTTCCTTGGGAGGGATGTGGAACAGCTCTTTGTAGGGTCTGCAGGCAGCCCGCAGAGAGGTCTTGCAGGGACAGGAGCTCTTTGTGATCCCCCAATCTGTGAGCAGCTGCCCTACAGCCCCCTGAGAGCACTGGGAAATGCTGTAGGGTGTGTGTGCTCAGGCTGCCTGGGAGGTGGGGCACCCCTGTGTGACATGGGTGATGCTGGGTGATGGATCTGGGTGCCAGCTGTGTCCCAGCAGGGTGGTGTGGCTGCTGTGTGCCCACGGGCACTTTGGTGGGGCAGGGTGGGGCTCTCATAGCTCTAGCTCTGTGCTGGAGGGCTGTGGGAGTGTGCTGGGGGCCAAAGGATGCTCTGAGCCCCTTGGGGCTGCCGTGGTGCTGGGCTGTGGGACAGGAAGCTGAGGGTGAGGAGGACATGAACCCAGCAATCCACGTCAGCCAGGCTGTGCTTTCCCGTGCAAGGAGACAGAGTGCAGGAGGCTGGGGCTGCCATGGTGTGTGTGCCCTCACTGGGGATATGGCAGTGCCCAGTTGACCCCATCCCTGTGCCTCCTGCAGGGCTTGAGATGCTGCAATGGGGACATCCCTGCCAGGAGGGATCAGGCTGACCCTGCCTGTGGATCTGCCTCTCAGTGCCCACCTGGCACTTGGCCCCCAGCCCCTCCTGCACCCCCCAAGGCAGGCACAGGGCAGCAGTGCAGAACAGCTCCCCCTTTGTGCCTGTCTGAGCTGCTGTGCCTCAGCTCTGCCCCTCAGTAGCAGGATCCTGTCCCTCCTCCCTGCAGATGCTCGGTGCCCATGGCAGCCCTGCCATGGAGACAGAGCTTTCAGAGCCTGCCAGCCTGGCAGGGAGGGCAGGGACAGCACTGGGGACGCTCCAGCCGGGCTCCCCTTTGTGTGTGTCCCTGCCTGGCTCGTGCTGGTGCCTTTGGATGCTGCTGCTGGATCAGACTCCTGCTGGGAGCCTGTCATCACCCAGTGGGAGCTGCTGGCTGGGAGGGGTGTCCTGCACCCCTGCCTGCCCCTCTGTGTGTCTGTCCATCCATCCTTCCACCTCCTGCCTGCTGCCCTGCCTGCCTGGGAAGGTTTTATTGGCAGGAGCATTTGGCTGGGACTGTGCATCTCTGGCCTGGCTCTCTGTTCCTTGTCACCATCAGGGCAGGGAGCTGAGGGCTTGGTGTGCTCCTGCTTCTGCTGGATTTCTCCTTTGTAGGATTGAGACGGATGGAGATGAGAGATCTCTGCAGCCAGGGCTGGGAACTTGTGGGTTATTGCAAAGGGCCTGGGTGCAGGGCCCTGCTGGGAGCTGCCAGCCACAGCTGGAGCAGGACTGAGAGAAGAGAGGGGCAGAGAGGATGAGAGGGTGAGGGAGTAAAAAGGTGAGAAAGCGAGGTTCTTGTTACAATACCATAAATCTTCTTCTGTGCTGAATATTCTAATTCTCACTAAACAATCTAGTACAAGATACAAATCCTATAGCATTTCCATACAGCCTATAAGAATCATTACATTACCACACTGTGTTACATTTTAAACCCTAAAAACTCCTCTTTGGGCCCCTTCTGCCAAGCTGTAGGGTCTGCTCTGACCCTTGGGCCTGTCTGCAAGCAGAGGGTGTTGTTCCATCAAAAGGGGGATTACCTTCAGCTGGCCACACCATTGTTTTCCAGTTGTTCAGTAACTGAGGTATCTCAAAGCTTGCTTTCATTTCAATCTCACTTATAGTTTCTATATTCTGAAAATCTTTTGCCAGGCAATCATATTTATAAAGCTTTCCTGTTTCATCTTCCCCAACAGGGGAGCACACTGGGGACTGGCACGTGGGTCCTCCCCAGCCCCACAGGTCCTGGGGAGAGCCAGGATGAGGGATGGGTCTCTGGGGAGCTTGGAGCTGGCTGGACAATGAGGTTTGGGGGAATAGGAATGGGACAGATGTTGGTGTTGGTGTATGGGCACTGGAACAGCCCAGCATGGCCAGGCTCAAAGTGGGTTCCTAAATACCCTGTGGAAAATTCATGTGTGCACACCCCTCTAGTGCTGCTGCTCATGCTGGTCCAAGCCCCCCTTGCAGGTATTTAAACCCCCTGGGAGGAGTGGAGAGACAAAGAAATGTTCTGCTGAAAACCTGCTCTCGTTTTTCCTGAGAGGGAAGAAAATTCCCAAATGTGTTGTGGCTCCAGCTGGTTCCTCTGCCCATCCCCTGGGGCTGCTGTTCATGTCTAGGGCGGGGATGAGGGAAGCACATCATCTTGCTCCAAAAGTAATTAAAGTCAGGGATAATTCTTTCTGGAGGAGGGTGGAACCCTGGGAAGGCGACAGGAACGAGTCTGGGACTGAGCACATCAGAAGCTGCTTTTTATTGTGGCTGCTGAGCTAAATATATCCACAGAGGCACAGAGCAGTTCCCATGTGTCTGCTGCTGTGTGGGGTGAGGGGTGCAGGGTGCTGGGCACTGCCTGTGCCCCAAAAACAGACCAGGGTCCTCCTGGGCCTTGCTCCTGGGTGAGGATCATGCATGAAGCTGTGTCAGGGCAGGGTCATGCTGGATATCAGGAAAGGTTCTTCCCCCAGAGGGTGCTGGGCACTGCCTGCCCTGCCAGGGACCCCCTGTGCCCCAAAAACAGCCCAGGGCCCTCCTGGGTGGGTGAGGATCATACAGTCATGCACAAAGCTCTGCCAGGGGAGGGTTGGGTTGGATATCAGGAAAGCTTCTTCCCCAGAGTGTGCTTGGCACTGCCTGCTCTGCCAGGGCCACCCTGTGCCCCCAACACAACCCATGGCCCTCCTGAGCCTTGTTCCTGGGTGGGTGAGGGTCAGACACTCATGCACAAAGCTGTGCCAGGGCAGTTTGGGTTTTGGGTTGGATATCAGGGAAAGGTTCTTCCCCAGAGGGTGCTGGGCACTGCCTGCCCCACCCTGTGCCCCCAAACACAGCCCAGGGCCCTCCTGGGCTTTGCTCCTGAGTGGGTGAGGATCAGAGATTCATGCAAAAGCTGTGTCAGGGGAGATTTAGGTTGGATCTCAGGAAAGGTTCTTCCCCCAGAGGGTGCTGGCACAGCCCAGGCTCCCCAGGGAATGGGCACAGCCCCGAGGCTGCCAGAGCTCCAGGAGTGTTTGGGCAGCACTGCCAGGGATGCCCAGGGTGGGATTGTTGGGGGATGTGTGCAGGGCAGGGCTTGGACTGGATGATCCTGGTGGGTCCTTCCAGCCCAGGAGATTCCTGATTCTGAGTCCCAGTGCACACTGTGGCCGCTCAGGTCTGGATGTGGCTGCCAGGGATGTGGTTTGAAGGAATTAATAGCTGAGTTTATGGAGCACCCGGGGACTGGAGCTGAGCACTCATTAGCACTAATGAGAGCTATCTGCATGGCTTTGGCTCCAAACTCCTTTTCCACGAGTCCCCTGGGAGCCCCCGGCTTCCTGCAGCCAGTGCATGAGCACGGGCAGAGCTGGGCAGCCCTGCAGAGGGGCAGAGTGTCTGTGAGTCCTGCAGAGGGGCAGAATGTCTGTGAGTCCTGCAGAGGAGCAGTGTCTGTGCAGGTCCAGCTCTGCTCCCACATTCCCAGGCAGGGGTTGTGTGCACTGGGTGGGATGGGATGGGATGGGATGGGATGGGATGGGATGGGTGGGTCAGGCTCTGCCCAAGCCAGGAGCCAGCTCAGCCTCGCCTGTCCCAGTCCCATCTGCAAGTCCAAGGCTGGGGACAGCTTTTGGGCTGGGCGGTGCTTTGCTTCAAACGGTGAGGACTGTCTTGTCTTGTCGTGGTTTTGCATTTTGCATTTCAAGCCTTTGTAGCTGTGGTTTGATGTGTCTGTGTCGGACTGAGCGAGGCTGTGCTGGCCTGGCTGCCCTAACTGTGCCAGGCTGGGGCTGATCTGGTGCCACAGCCCCTGTCTGTGCCCAGCCCTGCCAGAGCAGTGGGGAGGATGAGCCAGTGCAGCTGTGAGGGGCTGGGGGCAGTTCTGGGTGCAGGCTCTGTGTGCCCAGCCCTGCCTGTCACCCATTCATGGAGGTGCCTGATGGTGTTTCTGGGATGTGTCACACTCTGGAGGTGCCTGGTGGTGTTTCTGGGATGTGTCACCCCCTGTTCTCAGCTGCAAACAGGTCAGGGTTATGGCTGGCTGCAGGAGCTGAAGCATCCCCTGCCCTGTATGCTCTCTGCTGCCTGTCCCCTGCCTGCATGAGCCACGTTTCCAGCAGGGGTTGTAGGATGTCCTGAGCTGGAAGAGACCCACGGGGTCCCCTGGCTCCAGCTCCTGATCTGTGCAGGACACCCCAACAATGCTACTCTGTGCCTGACAGCATTGTCCAAACACTCCTGGAGCTCTGGCAGCCTCAGGGCCATGCCCAGCATCTGTGGGGGAAGAACCTTTTTCTAATACCCAGCCCTGGTACAGCTCCAGCTGTTGTGTTGGGTCCTGTCACTGTCACAGAGAGCAGAGATCAGAGCTGCTCTGTGTGAGGAAGCTGCAGACCTCAACAGGTCTGACCTCAGGCTGCTTTTGTCCAGTCTGGACAAGCCAAGTGACCTCAACTGCTTCTCCTATGGTTCCTCAAGGCCCTTCACCATATTTATGCCCCCCTCTGGACACTCTCTGGTACCTTTCTGTCCTTCTTACACTGTGGTGCCCCAAACTGCACCCAGCACTCCAGGTGAGGCTGCAGCAGTGCAGAGCAGTGACAAGTAGTCTTTTCCCCTTGGTTGTGCTGGATTAGACACACTGGGACATGGCTCAGAGGATGGGCTGTGCTCTCATCCTCAGGGCCACACTGGTGTCCCCCAAGCCTGTGCTGCCCTCACCCTGCTTCTCTTCCCACAGGATCCGCCCTCAGCTGCCCAAAGAGAAGATAGAGGGATGTCACATCTGTACCTCAGTGACACCTGGCGAGCCCCAGGTGCTGCTGGGCAAGGACAAGGCCTTCACCTATGACTTTGTCTTTGACCTGGACACGTGGCAGGAGAGGATCTACACCACGTGCATGGGGAAGCTCATCGAGGGCTGCTTCGAGGGCTACAATGCCACTGTGCTGGCCTATGGGCAGGTATGGGCTCTGCCCTCAGTGTGGGCTCTCCAGGGAGGCTGAGAGGGCACCTGGGAGGCTGAGCAAGGTGGAGGGTGTGGAGTATTGATATATTACCAATATAGCCAGATGGGATGTGCCTGAGCTTGTCTGGCCCTTGGTGCTGAACCAAACAGTGGCACTGTGGTGTTTCACCCCACAGACACTTTTGGCTGGCTGGGTGTGTGGTGTTTCACCCCACAGACCCTTTTGGCTGGCTGGGTGTGTGGTGTTTCACCCCACAGACACTTTTGGCTGGCTGGGTGTGTGGTGTTTCACCCCACAGACACTTTTGGCTGGCTGGGTGCTGCAGCTGGGCCCATGGGGACAAGTCCAGGCCTGCAGGAGCTCTGGTGGTGCTGGGATGGAGCTTCCCCCATAACAGGGGCTGCTCATCGGGTTTTCCTCTGGCAGAGAAGCTTTGAGGTGATGGTGAAGGAAAGGAGTTGGTTCTGAGGGAGGGTTTGGATGCAGAGCTTTATTCTGGCCCACAGGCCTCTGAATGCAGCAGCAGCTCCAACAGAACTCCCTGGGCCCGTGGTTGCTGCTCCTTTAACCCCGGGGAGAGGGCAGGGAAGGGGCAGGGAGCCACCAAGCAGGGACAGGAGGGGAGGGACAAAGGGACAAAGGACACCTGGATGGCCCAATGCCCCCCTGGGGTACAGGGCATCCTTTGAATCTGCTACTCGAGGCCCTTCTGGAATTGCAGGACTGACAGACAGTGCTGGGAGGGGAAAGGAGAGGTGACTGACACACCTGGGAGGGAATGATCAGGGGAGGGACCCGGGGTTCTGAGATAAACCCTGAAATCACAACACAACAGTGGAGGATCTCACCCAGGTGAGGATCTCACCCAGGAACCTGCAGTCCTTGGGTGACCCAGCCCTGTGCACTGGGATGTGGGTGCAAGAGTGATACTGAATGGTGGCAGCAGTGAGGACACATGAGCAGGGGTGTCCCTCCAGCCCAGGCTGAGAGGGGCTGCAGAGTTAGGATATGGATGGAGTCAGCTCTGGAACAGCAGGGCTTTCCTGCTTGTTCAGCCTCTGCAAGTGCCATGGAAATTGGGAAAAGTGAAGTTACTTAGGTAATTGTGGTTGATGAGACAGAACTTATATTTGTACCCTGTAAGGAGGTGAGATCCTGGGTGTGGAGAGAACAGAGCTGTCCCTGGTTGGGTGAGAGCTGGGGGCAGGGGTGGCAGGGCTGGGAGTGTGGGAGCTGATGTGTCACTGGGGGTCACGGTGCCATTTGGGGAGCCTGAAGTAGCAGAGGGAGAATATGGGATGTATTGGGCAGAGCTGAGCCAGCTGCTCTCCTTGTCTCTGCACAGACTGGAGCAGGGAAGACGTACACCATGGGCACTGGCTTTGACATGAGCATCTCCGAGGAGGAGCAGGGCATCATCCCCCGGGCCATCAGCCACCTCTTCAGCGGCATCGAGGAGCGGCGGCGCGCGGCGCAGAGCCAGGGCCTGGCAGCGCCCGAGTTCAAAGTCAGCGCCCAGTTCCTGGAGGTGAGAGGCTAATGGCAGTCTGAGGGGCACCATGGCCCTGCCCTGCCCTTGCTGCTCTGCCTTGGGGGCAGGGGTGGCCTTGGGTGGGAGGAGGGGGTGGCAGGGCTGGGAGTGTAGGGCTGATGTGTCACTGGGGGTCGCAGTGGCTCAGCACACAGTTCCTGGAGGTGAGAGGGTAATGGGAGTCTGGGGGACACCATGGCCCTGCCCTGCCCTTGCTCCTGTGCCTTGGGCTCCTCCAGATCTCCTGGCAGAGCTGGACCGGTGACAAGCACGGGCATGTGTGCTGGTGCAGTGGGGACTCGAAGCGCCTACACAGCTACAAACTGAGTGGAGGGAGCTCCCACCATGGGGAGGGGTATTATGGCTTGGTCCCCTGGGGATCCTGGGACTCTGGGCTGTCTTACCCCTGTTTGAGGTCAAGGATAGCCCTTTCTTCTCCTTCTGTTTCACTCTGGACCAGAGCTCTCAGTGAAACAGGAGAAGTGCCACTCTTGGGTGGGGAGGGAGTTTTGGGGAAGGACTGGGCTATTTTCCATGTCCTTTGTAGCATCTCTGACCTTGAGAATTCATCCTCTCCTGCCTCTGCCCAGGCTTCTGCTGTTCAAAACCTCTTCCATTAACTGCTTCATTCCCTGGAGAAGTTTGTCCTGGGAAGCACGTGGACCTTGTGTGTTGGCAGTGTTTTTCGTGGGGGTTGCTCCTGGGCTGAAAAATTGAAGAGGTGCAAGTGGGATCTCTTTTAAAGCCCCAGTGAGAAAGCACAGGGTGGTGCTGAGCAAAGCTGAGCCCCAAGCAAGCTGGTTGAGGTTTTGAGGAGATGGGCAGGGAGGGGCCCTGTGCTGTGATTTTGCCTCCTGGTGGCTTTGTTGGCCATCACATCTGGGTGTCTTCAGATGCTGGTGGCTTGGAGAGGGCCCAGAGTCACTTCCTTCCACTTATGTCTCCATCTGCAGAGCCCCTGTGGTGCTCTTGTGTCCTCCCATTCCCATCACTTGGCCCATCCAAGCTCCTGGTTTCTGCCCAGGGGCTTCTCTTGAGGGATCCTTTGTGCTGGGGTGGAAATGGGGACAGTTGCCTGCCTGTCCTGAGGTCCTGCATGGCTAAAGCAGCACATGGCCACGTCAGGCACTGCTCACCAGCTCTGCTGTTCTGGCAGGGGTGCAGAACTTGTTCTGGCTGATCCCTGTCTTGTGACTTTGCTGCTGGGAACAGGTTCTGGGAGCAGGTTTAGACCCTTGAGGAACCTGGTGGCACCAGGGGCAGCAGGGATGGATTACTGTGATCCCTTGTGCTGGCCAGGAACCCGCAATCCTTGGGTGACCCAGCCCTGTGCACTGAGATGTGGGTGCAAGAGTGACACTGAGTGGTGGCAGCAGGGGACACATGGGCAGGAGTGTCCCTAAACCCCAGGCTGAGAGGGGCTGCAGAGTGAGGATATGGATGGAATCAGCTCTGGGTTTCCTGCTTGTTCAGCACCCCCTTATCCCCTGTACACCTGACAGAGATGCCTTGAGCTGTGGTGAGGGTGGGGATTCACTGGCTCCTGTGGCCAGGTGAGCCAGGAGGGTCAGGGGGATGTGGAGCTCCTGGGTGTCTGCTCAGTGGAGCTGCCTGTGTGCACCAGAACTGGACAGGTTTGGGCAGCAGAGACCAACCCAAAGCTCAGAGCTTTGCATGGCAAGCTCTGGAGCACCAGTCTGATGAGGAGGGGTTGAGGGGATTGAGGGGCTCAGACTGAAGAAGAGGAGGCTCAGGGGGATCTTTCTCTCTACGGCTTCCTGACAGGAGGGTGGGGATGGATGGGGGTTGAGCTCTGCTCCCAGGGACAAGGAACAGGAGGAGAGGAAACAGCCTCAAGTTGTGCCAGTTGAGGTTTAGGTTGGATATTAGGAAAAATTACTTCCCTGAAGTTGTGGTGTGGCATTGGCACAGGCTGCCCTGGGCAGAGGTGGAGTCACCATCCCTGGGAGGGGTCAGAAGATGTGTGGGGACATGGGTTAGTAGTGAACATGGGCAGTGCCAGGGTAAATGGTTGGACTTGATGATCTTGGAGGGTTTCTCCAGTATGAAGGGTTCCATGATTCTGTGCTTGTGCCTTCTCTGGTACACATGTGTGATGGTGTTCACAGGGGTCTGAGGATGAGGGAAGAGACGAGGATCTGACTCCATGTTTCAGAAGGCTTGATTTATTATTTTATGATATATATTACATTAAAACTGTACTAAAAGAATAGAAGAAAGAATTTAATCAGAAGGCTAGCTAAGAATAGAATAAGAAAGAATGATAACAAAGGCTTGTGTCTTGGACAGAGAGTCTGAGCCAGCTCACTGTGATTGGCCATTAGTTACAAATATCTAACATGGGCCAATCACAGATCCACCTGTTGCATTCCACAGCAGCAGATAATCAATGTTTACATTTTGTTCCTGAGGCTTCTCAGCTTCTCAGGAGGAAATATCCTAAAGAAAGGATTTTTCATAAAGGATGTCTGCGACACACATGCACCAGAGTCACCATCCCTGGAGGTGTTCAGAAGATGAGTGGGTGTGGCATTTGAGGACATGGTTTAGTGGTGAGCATGGCAGAGCTGAGGTAAATGGTTGGACTTGATGATCTGGGAGGGCTTCTCCAGTCTGAAGGGTTCCAGAATTCTGTGCTTGTACCTCCTGTGCACACACCCCAGCTCCCCTGCTCAGCCTTGCAGGCAGTGTGAGCCCACACGGCTACAGGAGAGTGGCAACAGGGTGCCACGGCAGCTCCTGCCAGTCCTGCAGTGCCAGGGCTGCTCCTGCCACTCCTGCAGTGCCAGGCTGGAGCGGCCTCGTGCTTGCCCTGCTCACCCACACCCACTGCTGCCCTGCCCAGCTGTACAACGAGGAGATCCTGGACCTGTTTGACAGCACCCGCGACCCCGACTCGCGCCACCGCAAATCCAACATCAAAATCCACGAGGATGCCAGCGGGAGCATCTACACCACAGGGGTCACCTCACGCCTCATCAGCTCCCAGGATGAGGTGGGTGCAGCGTGGGGCAGGCACAGAGCAGGGGTGGCAGCTGGGTGCCACTGGCCAGGGATGGGCTGTGTGGGGACAGCTTGGTGGGGGGATGTCAGAACTCAGTGCATCCCTCTGGGTGTCCAGAGTTCCTGAGGACCCTGCCAGGGGGACTTGGAAACCCTGGCACACAGCCCAGAGCACCTGGGGATTGGATTATGACCCCTGGTGCAAATTACCAGCTTTGTATGAGGACCTGAAAGTCACAGAAGTTTAAATAATGTAATAATAAAATTATCACCAGGTGAAAGGGTCGATTTTGGGATTTTTAGAATGAGGGGTTTGGGGACAAGATGGAGGGACTTGGGTGTGTCCAGCCCTTCTCCTTCTCCTCCTTCTCCTTCTCCTTCTCCTTCTCCTTCTCCTTCTCCTTCTCCTTCTCCTTCTTCCCCTTCCCCTTCCCCTCCTTCTCCTTCTCCTTCTTCCTCTTCTTCCTCTTCTTCTTCACCTCTATTTTCTGCAGTGATGTTGGCACTTTGGGATTAGTTTAGAGTGGAAGTGCACTGTCTAACATAGGTGATGGGTATTGGGAATTAAGTGTAAATATGTTATACGTAGTTTGTAGTATAAAAAGACAACACTGCCCTGAGGGCAGTCAGAGTGCCTGTGGCTGCCCTGCTGAGCGGACCTTGGCTGAGCAGGAGAAAAATTTTATAGATAAGAATTAATAAACAACTTTAAGAACGAAAACTGAAGAACTCCAGCTCGTTCTTTGGACACGCAGGCTGAAACAGAGACTTTTCACAAATCTCAGAGCTGCAATTAACAGCAAAACTCCCGAGAGGGGGAGATCTCTCCCAGGGTGGGAGTGCAGTGCTGGAGGTGTTCTGGAAAAGGTCAGTGTGTCCACTGAACTGTACAGGGTCTGTCCTGACTCCCTAGAATGGTGCTTTAAGGTTTCCTTCCCTGCCTGGTGTCGTTGCAGCTGATCCAGTGCCTAAAGCAAGGAGCCCTTTCCCGCACCACGGCCAGCACCCAGATGAACGTGCAGAGCTCCAGATCCCATGCCATCTTCACTATTTACCTGTGCCAGACGAGAGTGTGTGCCCGCCCAGAGCTGGTGAGATGTGCTCCTGCCTCATGGCCAGGGTGTTCTTGGGTTCCATACCCAGCTGATGCATGGAGTTCCCTTGGGAAGGGGAGAGGGTTTGAAGTCTAGCAAAGAGAAGCAGGGATTTTTCTTTCCAGTCATAGCCTGCATTAGGATTTAATGGGAGCTGAGGGTGAGCTGATCCTGGGCAGGATGGCTCAGAGCAAGCTGCTCTTGGGATGCTGTCCCCATCTTTGGGGGGCTGGATATGGAGGGTGAACGCTCAGACTCTGGCTGATGTCTCAGTGAAGGCCAGGGAGCCTCTGGGGTGCTGACCCCTGGTGTGTCCCTGGCTGCAGGTGAATGAGGAGGTGAGCAGCCTTCTGGATGGATCCCAACCTGCTGCTGAGTACGAGACCTTGACAGCCAAGTTTCACTTTGTGGACCTGGCTGGCTCGGAGAGGCTGAAGCGGACGGGTGCCACGGGCGAGAGAGCCAAGGAGGGCATCTCCATCAACTGTGGGCTGGTAGGGCTGCACTGCTGGGCAGGGGGGCTGCCAGGGCAAAGCCTGACAGGAGAAACCTCTAACACTGCTGGGTGTTGCCTGGAGCTGCCCTGGGCTGTTGGGGTACTGCTGTCGTGGCTGGGGTTTGGGCTGTCTCACAGTGCCAATGGTGGGAGCACAGCTCTGCTGCCAAAGGAGACTCGTGCTGTGGGCAGGGGTGCAGCTGGGCACAGGGGTGCAGCTCCCAAAAGGGTGAGATCTGCTAATCAGAGCTAAAAAACCCCCTCTGGGGCTTGGTGCTTCTTCTCAGTGCAGCATGGAGAGAGGCACAGCCCAGGCTAAGGACAGCCCCACGCCTGCCCCTTGTGCAACCCAAACCTGTGCCACAGTACATGCCCAAAGCCTGATGTGCTGTATCCTCAGCCAGGGCTGAATCTGGGGGGCTTCCCTTTGTGTTGGTAGCTGGCCTTGGGGAATGTCATCAGTGCCCTTGGAGACCAGAGCAAGAAGGTCGTGCACGTGCCCTACCGCGACTCCAAGCTCACCCGCCTGCTGCAGGATTCCCTCGGGGGCAACAGGTAAGGGGGTCCCAGGTGGGGGCTGAGCTTGGGCTGAGGGCTGCAGGGGCTATCCCCCTGCCCATGGGGCTGAGGGGGCTCTGGAGCTATGGAGGAGTTGTCTCAGGACAGGGAGAGATGCCTTCTTCCAGGCACAGCATGACTTTGCAGATGTAAAGGCATCATCAGCCTCAGGTGCAATTAGCAGCTTTGGCAGAATCAGCTGATGCAAAGCTCTCCTGAGCCCTGACAGATCTGGGACTTGGCAAGTGTTGGTGCCCAGAATGGGATTGAATTCCCTGCCTCTTCTCCAAAGAGGGAGGCATTGAGGAAAGGCTGCTTTTGCCCAGTGCTGTGTGATGTGCTTGAGGGGTCTTGTGGGTGCTCTGGCTGCTCTGGCTCTGAGAGGAATGAACCCAGTTCAAACCCAGAGGGGCCCAGGATGGGCTCCCATCCAGGATGGGTGTCTGGGGGGCATGTGGTGTGTGCTGAGCCCTGAGTTTGCACCTGCTGCATTGCTGAGCTGTGCAGGGACTGTCTTTCACCCTGCCCTTGCATCCCCAAGCCAAACCATCATGATTGCCTGCGTGAGCCCCTCTGACCGGGATTTCATGGAGACCCTGAACACGCTCAAGTACGCCAACCGCGCTCGCAACATCAAGAACAAGGTGGTGGTGAACCAGGACAAGACGAGCCAGCAGATCAGCGCCCTGCGCGCCGAGATCGCCCGGCTGCAGATGGAGCTCATGGAGTACAAGGCAGTGAGTGGGGCCAGGTCCTGCTGTCCCCAGCAAGGGAAGCCCTGCAGCCAGCTGTTCACTGCCCCCAGTAGGATGGGGTGTCCCTGCTGAGAGCAGGTTTGCCCCCAAGCAGGCTGCATGGGCCGGATAGCTCAGTCCTCTGTGGGACAGACTGCCCAAAACCCAAGCAGCTCTCAGTCACTGGCAGCATTTAGCAAGCATAAGGAACATCAACTCTTTAGTGATTATCAGCTCTTTTGAGTTCAGCTCTTTTGCTTGCTAAGGTGCTGCAGGCCGGCTGGCAGATGCAGAGAGAGAGAAGGCTGCTCTGGAGTTCCACAGCAATGTCTTTATTGTGGGTCTGTGAAGGGTTCCAGCCAGGGCTCTTCTGACCAGCATGAGCTAAAACAGCCCATTATATAGGGTATAGGGGTATCCAGAATTGTCCAATAGCAGAGGTCAAGGAGAAGCGACCTATGGGATTATAGAGAGATAAGCTGGGGTCTGAAAGGCAGAAGACAAGGGCTTGCCATGACTTGGCATTTCCTATCTTTAGGCCTATGCTCTCCACAGGGCCCTGTGACCGTGTTCACAGGGGTCTTAGGATGAGGGAAGAGATGAGGATTTGACTCCAAGTTTCAGAAGGCTTGATTTATTATTTTATGATAAATATTATATAAAAACTATCCTAAAAGAGTAGAAGAAAGGATTTGATCAAAAGGCTAGCTAAGAATAGAAAAAGAAAGAATGATAACAAAAGCTCGTGGCTCGGGCTCTCTGTCTGAGCCAGCTCACTGTGATTAGCCATTAATTAGAAACAACCACATGAGACTAATCACAGATTTACTTGTTTCATTCTATAACCATTGTTTACATTTTGTTATTGAGGCTTCTCAGCTTCTCAAGAGGAAAAATCCTAAAAAAATGATTTTTCATAAAAGATGTATGTGACAGGGCCCTAGCAAGCCCATGACCTGCTACAATGGGGGAGAGAATTGGAAGAGTAACAGTGAGAAAACTCCTTGGTTTAGATGCAATTTAAGAAGTAAAGCAAACCAAGGAACTCATTCCCCGTGTCCCATCACAGGGAGGTGTTCAGCCATGCCCAGCCCAGCAGAGCTCTGTCAAGTGTAACAGTGACTTGGGGCAACACTCCAGGCATCCCCTGTTTCTTCTTCCCTCCCCCAGCTTTATATGCTGAGCATGACATCCTGTGGTTTGGGATATCCCTGTGGTGAGTGGGGAACAGCTGTCCTGGCTGTGTCCCCCCAGCTCCTTGTGCACCCCTGGCCCAATGCTGGTGGGTCAGAATGAGGGGCAGAACAGCTCCTGGCTCAGCAGGAGCCAAATCATCCCTGTGGGATCAGTGCTGTTCTCAGCACAGATCCCAAACACAGCACCACACAAAAGCTGCTGTGAGGAAAATGAACTCCACCAAAGGCAAACCCAGCTGATGGAGCAGCCCTGGTGAGGGGGCAGAGACAGGTGCAGAAAGGCCCCTCCTTGTGTTTGAGTTGGGGCAGGTTTAGTAGGACAGACCCATCCCCTGCCCCCTAGGAGAAACTGCAAGGAGGAGTCAGGAGGCTCAAGAAACAGGAGCTCAGCTCAGGACCTTGGCCATGTTTTGGGGGTGTAAGGCAGGGAGAAGCCCCAACGCCTCTCTCACCCTTGGCATGTTCAGCTCAGACTCTCCTGGTCCCTGCTCTCTGTGTGGGGCTGCCCCCAGGGGTGCAGTGGTGGGTCTGTGTGCCCCAGGTGGGTCTGTGTGTCCCAGGTGTGTCTCTGTGTGTCCCAGGTGAGTCTCTGTGTGTCCCAGGTGGGTCTGGGTGCCCCAGGTGGGTCTGTGTGTCCCAGGTGTGTCTCTGCGTGTCCCAGGTGGGTCTGTGTGTCCCAGGTGGGTCTGGGTGCCCCAGGTGGGTCTGTGGGTCCCAGGTGTGTCTGTGTGTCCCAGGTGGGTCTGGGTGCCCCAGGTGGGTCTGTGGGTCCCAGGTGTGTCTGTGTGTCCCAGGTGGGTCTGGGTGCCCCAGGTGGGTCTGTGGGTCCCAGGTGTGTCTGTGTGTCCCAGGTGGGTCTCCATGCCCCAGGTGTGTCTAGGTGCCCCAGGTAGGTCTGTGTGTCCCAGCTGGGCCTGTGTGTCCCAGGTGTGTCTCTGTGTGCCCCAAGTGGGTCTCCGTGCCCCAGCCTGCCCTGCCCTCAGGGGCTGCCCTCCTGTGCCCCCAGGGCAAGCGTGTGATCGGGGAGGATGGCACGGAGGGCTACAGCGACCTGTTCCGGGAGAACGCCATGCTGCAGAAGGAGAACAGCGCGCTGCGCATGCGCGTCAAGGCCATGCAGGAGGCCATCGACGCCATCAACAGCAGGGTCACCTACCTCATGAGCCAGGAGGCCAACATGATGCTGGCCAAAGCAGGTGGGGCTGGGCTGCTGCGTGGCATGGGGGGCCAGCCCAGGGAGCAGCTGGGCCAGGGGCTGGGGGACAGCAGGGTGTGCCTCTCTCAGCGGTGTCTCTGCGCTGCAGGTGACGGGAACGAAGCCATCGGCACCCTGATCCAGAACTACATCCGGGAGATTGAGGAGCTGAGGTGAGCAGGCACACTGCTGGGGGGTCTGGGCTCCTGGGGCCAGGGGCTGGGGATGGGGGGCTCACACAGCTCAGTGCTGTGTGATTTCCACTGCTGCTATGCAGGGTTGAAGGAGGCCCAGCCTTGGTGGCAGGCAGTGCTTTGGCTATTGTTGTCTTTGGTATGGGCATTGATGGTGAGGCAGAGTAGAAATTTTCCAGGGTAGAAATCTATTTTGATTTAGGTGGAAGGTACATCTTTAAGTATGTAGCTTGTTGTGTAGTCTGGCTGCAAAAAGCCTAGGCTCAGAGAAACTGCTTCAGTGAAAGACAGAGATAAGAGGGGGGCAGACAGAGAGTGATAGAGAGAGACAGAGACTGCTGTGCGAGCAAGTCAACTTGACTTAAGAATTCTTTCTGATAAAGAGGAACTACCAGCAAATGTACGCAAAATTTGTAAAAATTAATATATATAAACCTATTGTGAAATTGTATGCATATTTATCTGAGAGAGAGATAAAAAAGGACCTGAAGCTCCCAGAGGTATACATGTCATTTTAGGGGAACAATTTCCACATGCGTCCAGTGCTGTAATAAACATCCCGGCTTTACAACTTTCACAAAAGTTGTAGAGTTTTTATTATCTCCACAAAACAATGGAGGGAGAAGTTCTATTTGAAGTGCCTGGGGTCTTTCAGGGACTGCTGCCTCCCAAAGGTGGGTCCATGCCAGTCTCCTGCTTGATCCTGATACCCTGTCTGCCACCATTATGGCTTTCTGACCCATCATGAGGTGGAATGGCTTAGTAGTGACTCTGTCCCTAGCTCACACCATCTGAGCACATCATGTTCAGTGTGTAGAAGACACTGCGGAGACCCTAGAGCCCCTTCCACTGCCTAAAGGAGGCTATAAGTTAGAGGGAGAGAGCTGGATTTTTTTTTTTTTTAATTTGGACAGATAGTGATAGCACAAGAGAAAATAGCTTTAAACTAAAAGTGGAGAGATTTGAATTAGAAGTTAGGAAGAAATTCTTCCCTGTGAGGTGGTGAGGCAGTGGCACAGTTTGCCCAAAGCAGCAGTGGTTATTCCATATCTGCAAGTCTAGGGAGCTTGGAGCAACCTGGTCGAGTAGAAGGCACCCCTGCCCCTTCCATAGCAGCAATGTGGAACGAGATGAGGTTTAAGGTCCCTTCCAGCCCAAACCACTCTGCGATTCTAAACCCAGCCAAGACCCCCTGTAGGGCCAGTGGGATGGCCCCTGTTGGACTCTGCTTCCACTCCCCAGGACGAAGCTGCTGGAGAGCGAGTCCATGAACGAGTCCCTGCGGCGCAGCCTCTCACGGGTCTCTGCTCGAGGCCCGTTCCCCGTGGGCTCCTCACCGGGCCCGGGCCTGGCTGGGATCTGCAGCCCCGCGGCCACCCTGGACACCGAGGCCTCCGACGTGCTCCGGAGGGCCAAGCAGGACCTGGAGCGCCTCAAGAAGAAAGAGCGGCGGCAGCAGAGGAAGAGGTGAGGGGAGGTGTTCGCAAGGAGAAGGTGTTGGCAAGGGGGAGGCTCAGTCTGTCCCTGTGGGGCTGAGTCTCCTGTTTCCCCCAGCCCTGCTACAGCCAGAGCCTGCACCCTTCCCTTCCCTTCCCTTCCCTTCCCTTCCCTTCCCTTCCCTTCCCTTCCCTTCCCTCGGTCCTTGGTCTCCTGTTCCCCATCTCATAATTCCAGAGGCTGTTTTACCCCAAGAGTCCAAAAACAGGAGGGAGGGTGGCCCAGCAGAAGCTGTTTCTGCCTCTCTCATGCTGGGACTCACCAGCCCCCCTCTGTTCCCCCCAGCCCAGAGAAGGAGGCGTTTAAGAAGAGGCAGAAACTGCAGCAGGACAATGGGGAAGAGACGGATGAGAACGAGGTGGAAGAGGTGAGTGGGCATTGTGTTCATGGTGTGGGGGTGTCTGGGTGGTGGAGCACTGAAGGTGCCATCCGTGGGACAGGGACCAAGCTCAGGCTGGAAGAGTCACTCTGCTGAGGGCTCAATGCTGGAGCAGGGCAGAAGCTGGGTACTCCCCTGTCAGTCTGGATGTAGAACGAGGAGTCCATGTTTTTGGGAGCTTGGATTTAATCAGCATAGATGAAGAAGGGTCAGCTAGGAAGGGATATATGGGTGAAATTGCTGTTCCTCTCAACAGGATGTGCTGGGGGTCCAGAAATGGTGCTGCAGCCCCTGGGCATGCTGTGTGGGAGGCTGAGTCCCACCTGGGGGGCTGTGGCCCATGGCTGTAGGGTGGGCTCAGGTTTAAAGGAGGGAGAAGCTGTGGGGAGAAGGACAGACCATCCTGCTGGCTGAGATTAGGCACTCATCTCTTAGGAAGAGGAAGAACAGGATGAGAGTGGCTGTGAGGAAGAGGATGGGCGCGAGGATGAAGATGAGGACTCGGCCAGTGAAGAGAGCCTGGTGGACTCAGACTCGGATGCAGAGGAGAAGGGTAAAGTGGAGATCTGTGTGCAGCCATGGGCATGGAGGGGCACTTGCTGGCATCTCTGGCAGTGAGCTCTGGTCTGGGAGAGGCAGAGCTCACCATGCCCCAGCCATGCCTGCTCTGTGGGATTTGGAGAGCCCCAGGGCTGCTGCAGTGCTCTGTGGGTGCTGCTACTCCCCAGCAGTGGGGGTTCCCATCAGCTCCTCTGCCCTTTCCATGTGCTGTGTGTCTTGGTTTGGAAAGACAGGATTCTGCTAAGGAAGGCAGGAGCCTTCCCTGAAATGGAGAATGTAAACCCTCCCCACCCCTCTGAATTGCTACAAATTTTATATTAAGGGGCTCTCAGGCAAAAAATATGGGAGCAGGAAATAACAGTTCTTTAATAGGGAAGGAAAGAAAAAGGATAAAATAAACAATGCAGTACACTAGAACAACCCTGACAGAGTCAGAACCCAACCTGACACCCTGTGGGTCAGCCTGTTGGCAGCAGTCCCATTGGAATTGTGGCTCAGCCCTCCTGCAGTGTCAGGGGTGGCTCTGCAGGAGCAGGGATCCTGTAGAAAGGTGCAGTCTCTGCCTCTGAAGATGCAGTGGAAGAAGAGGCAGCTGCTGTTCCTGTGGGCAATCCAGTGGAGAAGCTGTGCTGGTGTTCCAGAATCTCCAGATTATATCCGGGTAGGAATGCTTGGCTCCTCCCTCTGGGCTCCCATCTCCCAATGGGATGCTGTAGTTCTTATCAGCCATGCAGGGACATTCAATAGCTGTTATCAGCAGATGTCCCCTCCAGAGGGAGGAGTGATTGTGATCACTCAGAGAGAGAGATAAAGCAAACTGTCTACTGACAAAAGATAATCTGCCATACAGATGGTAATAGAAAACATCTTGCCTTGCAATTTTCAACACTGTGACTCAGTGGGGCCATGCAAGTGATCTGACTTTCTCCTCTGCCTCCAGCTGTGAATTTCCAGGCTGACCTGGCAGATCTGACCTGTGAGATTGAGATCAAGCAGAAGCTGATTGATGAGCTGGAGAACAGCCAGCGGCGGCTGCAGACCCTCAAGCACCAGTATGAGGAGAAGCTGATCCTGCTGCAGAACAAGATTCGGGACACGCAGCTGGAGCGGGACCGGGTCCTGCAGAACCTCAGTGAGAGCTGCCTCACCCTTGGGATCCCATTCCAGACCCCAGTTCCAGCTCAAACCCAGCTAACTCTAAGTCAAAGCATCCAGCCCTTGCTCTGGTAGAGCTTTGCCATCCCCCTGCCTCTCCTTGAATCCCTGGCACCCCCAAGACTCTGCTTGTCTTGCCATGGGAGCAGCATCAGTGAGCTGCACAGCTCTGCACCCTGCTGGTGCTGCAGGAGGGTGGCAAAGCCTCTTCCAGCCTTGAGCACCACTTCATGAGCTGAGGGGACTCCTGGGGAAACTGAGGGGCAAAAGAGCCAGTGGTGTGGCTGATCTCCAGACTTAAACAGGGCAGGGTCACCCCTGTGTGTGGCTGTGTGTCCCAGTCTGCAGCTCTGCTCAGCCCAGCCCTGTATCTCCACTCTGTGCTGAGCTCTTCCAGTGGGTATTCCCAGACAGACCCCACTTCCTGGTGGGTGAGGGGGCTCAGATGGGACAGGGAGGGATGCAGTGCATGGTGCCTCCAGGCAGGTCTGTGGGTACAGGAAGATCCTGGGGTGCATTGTGAGCTCTGTCCCCACCCACCAGGCACCATGGAGTGCTACACCGAGGAGAAAGCCAACAAGATCAAGGCAGACTATGAGAAGCGGCTGAAGGAGATGAACAGGGACCTGCAGAAGCTGCAGGCAGCCCAGAAGGAGCACGCTCGCCTGCTCAAGAACCAGAGCCGCTACGAGCGGGAGCTGCGCAAGCTGCAGGCAGAGGTGGCCGAGATGAAGAAGGCAAAGGTACCTGGATGTGCCGGGGCGGGGAGGGATCCTGGCCGAGCCTGGAGCAGCGTTTTGCACTCTGGTGGCAGCGCAGAGCGCTGTGTGCTGGGCGTGGGGTGCCCCGGGGCGGTGGCACAGCGGCCCCTCCTTGCAGGTGGCGCTGATGAAGCAGATGCGGGAGGAGCAGCAGCGGCGCCGCCTGGCCGAGACCAAGAGGAACCGGGAGATCGCGCAGCTCAAGAAGGAGCAGCGCCGGCAGGAGGTCAGAGCTCAGCTTACCATGTGCAGGAGGCATGGAGAGGGGATGCTTCAGAAGCAGGGGGAAGGACCACAAGGATCCCCAACTCCCTGCTCTGGGTTATCAGCATTTTTGGAGGTGTCTTGGGCTGCCAAAAGCCTCTGCACTCTGCCTCAAGATTGTGACTGGTCTGGCTGGGGAGGGGGTGTTTGTCCTGCTCTGGCACTCCAGGTGCTCACAGATAGCTTGGTGAAGCCTCACTGGAGGTCCTAGCAGAGCACAGCTGGATGAATGGCTCCCAAAGCATTCCCACTGCTCCTGTTGGAGTTATGGGAGATACTGTGGGAGGGGGGAACGTGCAGCCAGAGCCAGCTCAAAGCTGGGAGCCTGCTGGTTGTTAAAATCAGGAGTGAGACTGTGCCAAAGGGAGCATTGGAACTGCAACCACATCTGGGCTGGACCTCAGAGGTGTCTTTTTCTTTCTCACTACTGCAGTTCCAGATCAGGGCTCTGGAATCTCAGAAGCGACAGCAGGAAATTGTGCTGCGGAGGAAAACCCAGGAGGTGAGGAAAGGGGGTTTCCTCCACATAGCCCCCAGCATCCATGGGGGTCTGGGCCCCAGTGCTTGGCTCAGAGAAATCCCATCTTTCAGACAGGGCTGGCTTTGGGAATGGGGTCCCCAAAAGGCAGGGAGGGGTTTTATGGCTCAGGAACCGGGTGGGAAATGGATGTAGGCAGCAGCAGAGTTCCCCATCCCCAGCAGCAGAGCCTGATAGCAGGGGTGGGCTGTGAGGGAGGAGAGGGAGCCCCATGAGGCACAAATGTCCCTGGGCTTTGCTGCTTTGCTTCTCTCAGACCTGTGGGGCCTGGGGATGATACCAATGGGTTTAGGCTGGGTGAGGCTGCCCAGCTGACACCATTTGCTGTTCCTTTGATGGAATCCCCCCTAAGCTGTGTGTTCCCTGGTAGCAGCAGGCAGGCAAGGAGACTCCAGATGCCTTCTGGGGGTGCTGATTAGATGAGGGTTTATTGGGGATCCCACCCCTGGGAGCAGCAGGGTTTCTGAGGGAGAAGGGGGGAAAGGGGGAAAGAGGAGAGAGAGGGAGAGCCTAGGAGGAAAAGGGCCAAGAGAGAGCCTGGTCTCCCTCACACAGGTTAATAGCAGGCACGGAATAAGCCTTGGGTCAATGGGGTTACAAATCCATGACACTTCAGGGGAGGATCACAGGCTTGGAATAAACTGCTCATTTTCAAGGGTTGACACAGAGCATACATTGAACTAAAATGCAACACCACAGACCCCCTCTCTGTCCTCCCTGGGGCAGGTGTCAGCGCTGCGCCGTCTGGCCAAGCCCATGTCCGACAGGGTGGCGGGCAGGACGGGCCCCAAGCCGCCCATGCTGGACTCAGGGGCCGAGGTCTCGGCCAGCACCACCTCCTCCGAGCCCGAGAGCGGCGCTCGCTCCGTCTCCAGCATCGTGCGCCAGTGGAACAGGAAAATCAACAACTTCCTGGGAGACTCCTCGGCCTCCATTAACGGGGCTCGGCCTGCCAGGTCAGGGGAGGGGCTGGGTGGTCGAGGGTGAGACATCCCAGGGATCCCATGCCTGGCTTTTGATAGGTGGTGGAGATTGAGGGATGGCTTAGTGTCCACTTGAGCCATATTAAATCACTGATCCTGTGATAAGCTGTGCTGGCAGTGTGACTGTCACCTGGGCTTGAGGTCAAAGCTGGCCCTCAATGAGGATTAAATGTGGCGCAAACCCTGCTGGACTCATCTCTTGTCCTGCTTTGCTAAGAGGAAAAGTTGGGTGATATATGGTCTCCTCGAGCTAGGTCTCATAAGCTCTTGGAGATCTGTATCACACCCAAGATAGCTCAGCTACCTTAGAAGGTATAAAATCAGCAGGATGGCTTCTGTGGTAGTGTTGGAAACAAAAGTTTTAATAGAGGCAAAATAACAAAACTCTTTACAGAAAAGGACCGAGCCAGGTGCAAGAGGTTCTTGCTCCTGGTAAAACATCCCACAAAAGCTATTAGTTTCTTTGTTATTTTTTTTTTTAGTAAATTGCTTAGGCGGGACTTTTTGGCTCCTTTCCAATTGGGTATCCTTAAGTTTGAGGGGAAGTCCCCCAAGTCCTATGAGATGTCTTTTTACCTATTCAAAGGAAGAAACTTCTGGGCTTTTTTCCTTTTTAAAGAGACAAAGGACAGTTTTGTCACTCCTTCAACAGAGAGCACATTCCTACAGTTGGGCAATGCAGAAACAGCACAGATCCATCCTCTGTTTCTGGCCAGCCAGATCCCAGATCCTGGGGCAAGCCTGGCTCTCCAGCACGGTGTGGCCATCTGCCCAAATGCCTCTTCTTCCCTCTGGCTGTAGGAAGAAGTTCCCCAAGAAGGGGTCGAGCCAGACCTTCAGCAAAGCTGCCCGCCTCAAGTGGCAGTCGCTGGAGCGGCGCATCTTCGACATTGTCATGCAGAGAATGACCATTGTCAACCTCGAGGCAGACATGGAGAGGCTCATCAAGGTGGCTGTGGCACTGGGGACACAGAGGGCTGGCTGGTGGCTGCAGGACAGGGAGGTGGCCATGTGGACAGTGCTAATTCCCTTCCCTTTTCCCCCAGAAACGTGAGGAGCTGTCGCTGCTGCAGGAGGCGTTGCTGGGCAAGCGGGCAAAGCTGCAGGCAGAGAGCCCCAAGGAGCAGAAGGGTCTGCAAGAGCTGAATGAGGAGATTGAGGTGCTGGGGGCCAACATTGACTACATCAACGACAGCATTTCAGACTGCCAGGCCACCATCATGCAGATTGAGGAGACCAAGGTGGGCGCAAGGACTGGGTCTGGCTGGCAGGGAGGAAATGAGAGCATCCCTCTGTGGAAAGAGCATCCTTGGGCACAGCCAGCTGGGGCTGGGCTCTGCTCAGAGGACCCAGAGTCCTGTGAGCTGTCACTCTTGGTGGGGCTTCACCCACACAGTCACTTCTCATTAGGTGATTAATTACAGAGAGGAGTTCTGGCAGATCCTTGCATGTCCATGGACATGCTTGTGTCCTGCTGCCCTGGAATTGTAGAGAGACTGCAGCCCCCATTTGCCCACGGGGCTGGTGGTCACTTGTACCCATGGTTGTTGCTTCATGCACTGGAAACATCCCAGGAGGACTGACTGGCTTTTTTCTAGCAGAAACCATCTAGGTTTTGTGTCCAGTTGTGATACTGGGCATGCCACTGGGCAGCTCCCAACTCCCCTCAATGCCTGCAGCCTGAAATGGAGGCTGTGTGCTGCCCCTGGCTTGTCCCCAGCTGTCACCTTGATTGCAGGGGAGAAGGGCTGCTGTTAATTCACACCAGGCTTTGGGTTGTGGATTTGGGTGAGCCTGGTGCCTGTTCATGTTCTAGTTTTGTGCTGGAACCAGAATTTCCTTAGCAGTGTATAAACCCTTCAGCACTGGACAGTCCCATGACTGGATCTGCCCAGTTGTGAAGGTGTTCACAGGGGTCTTAGGATGAGGGAAGAGACGTAGATCTGACTCCATGTAACAGAAGGCTTGATTTATTATTTTATGATATATATTACATTAAAACTATACTAAAGAATAGAAGGAAAAGTTTCATCTCAGAAGGCTAGCTAAGAATAGAAAAAGAAAGAATGATAACAAAGGCAGCTGCCTCAGACTCTCTGTCCAAGCCAACTCTGCTGTGATTGGCTATTAATTACAAACAAGCACATTAGACCAATCACAGATGCACCTGTTGCATTCCACAGCAGCAGATAACCATTGTTTACATTTTGTTCCTGAGGCCTCTCAACTTCTCAGGAAGAAAAAATCCCAAGAAAAGGATTTTCATAAAAAGATGTCTGTGACACACAGAAGCCACTGGGCAGACTGGGGAGGGTGAGGGTTGGACTGGGCAGTGCTTGCAGGGTGATGGAAGTGCTGTGCTTGCCATGGAGGCCCATCCAGCAGCAAAGCTACCCTGTTGATCCAGCCCTTGTCCCTGTGTGTTTCAGGAGGAGCTGGACTCCACGGACACCTCGGTGGTGATCAGCTCCTGCTCCCTGGCCGAAGCCCGGCTGCTGCTGGACAACTTCCTGAAAGCCTCCATCGACAAGGTGTGGGGCTGGCAGGGCTGTGCATGTGTGACAGGGCTTTTTCCTGGGTGCCAGGGTGGGGACCTGGTGCCAGGACCTTGCTGAGTGCCAGCATTGCCTGTGCAGGGGCTGCAGGTGGCCCAGAAGGAGGCGCAGATCCGGCTGCTGGAGGGGCGCCTGCGGCAGACAGACGTGGCCAACTCCTCTCAGAACCACGCCCTGCTGGATGCCCTGAGGGAGAAGGCTGAGTCCCACCCCGAGCTGCAGGCACTGATCCACAACGTCCAGCAAGGTGGGGCCTGAGGCAGGGGCAGCTTCAGGCCAGGTGTGCTGCTGTGGGCTGGGTGCTCACCTGGACTGGGCCTGCAGGAAGCACCTGGAGGTGGCTGGGACCCTGCCCAAGGACCCTGTTGGCTGGGATTGTGTGCCCTGGCCATGGACAACAAGGACAAGGACAGGGTTATCCCTCATGCCCTTCTGGCCATGGATAACAGGGACAAGGACTGGGTCACTCCCCATGGCCATGGATAACAGGGACAAGGACTGGGTTATCCTTCATGCCCTCCTGGGCTGCCCCCTCTGCTGCAGGGTTTGGAGGAGGGGCTGGTGACAGTGGGGTCCCCTCTGGGTCCCCCCTGCTGATGCACTGTCTCCCTCTCACAGAGAATGGCTACACCAGCACAGATGAGGAAGTTTCAGAGTTCAGCCTGGCCTCAGATGGGAGGTGAGCACCCAGCCTGGCACTGCCTGATGCCATTCATGGACCTTGTAGAGGGGCATGGATGAACAAAGCCCCACCTGAGCTTTTCTGTTGTGCCCAGCCCTTGGAGGGAGGAGCAGGATGTCTCTTGGACACGAGCAGGGAGTGAAGGCTTGGTCATTCCTTGGAGAAAGGGAGCTGGGGGGCAGAGGGTGACCCAAGGAGTCTGGTGGAGCAGTGGCACCAGCTTTCTGAAGAGAGTTTGGCACTGAAGATCCATCTTTGCTCCTTTCTCCTTGCAGCATCTCCCAGTCTTTTACCATGAAGGGCTCAGCAAGCCAGGATGACTTCAAGTTCAAGGTTAGTTGGCCTTTTTGTGTGGACTGGTCACAGAACCTGGGAGGAGGGATGTTCAGTGATGCTTCAGGCCTCTGCTCTGCAGCCTGAACCTTGGTGAGCCAGGCTTGGCATAAGGCAGTGTGGCTGATTTATGGATGGGCAGAGCCAAGGTCTCCTGGTGCAGTGGTCCTGTCCTGGGGCACCAGAGACTTGGCAAGCACCCGCCACACCAGGCAGTGCCTTCCAAATCTGAGTGGCACTGAAGATGTCCCCATGGAGGGAAGCAGCCACTGTTCTGTACAGGCTGTCATGTTTGCTGTGATGAGGATCCCAGTGGGACGTGGGGGAACTGGTTTGTGGCCAGAGAGCACAAACTCTTCCAGCCCCCATTGCTGGCTGCTCCCACTGCCCTCCGTGTACCCGCCCTGAGCCCTCTGCCCTGCTCTAGGGGGAGCCCAAGCTTTCGGGGCAGATGAAGGCAGTGTCAGCTGAGTGTCTGGGACCCACGCTGGACGTGTCCACCAAGAACATCACCAAGTCCTTGGCGTCCCTCATGGAGATCAAGGAGGACGGGATCGGCTTCTCCATCCGGGACCCCTATTACAAGGAGAAGGTGTCACGGACCATCAGCCTGCCCACCCGGGGCAGCACCTTGTGAGCGTGGGCCACCAGTGCCTGGGAGGCTCAGGGGGTCTGGGGAGCTGTGCCTGGCCTGTGGGGGTGCAGAGGGGTAGGGGAGCCCAATCCTGCATCTGTCCATGCTTGGTTATAGCACGCAGTGGTGAATTTCCTCAGCAGGGCTTGGAGAGTGTGTAGGAATGTGTTGGTGTTGTTTGCAGATGGAGAGGAGGATGCTTCAAAAGCAGGGAAGGAAGGGGGGGAGATGGACAGGGGATACTTCAGAAGCAGGGAGAACAACCACAAGGGTCCCCAGCTCCCGTCTCTGGGTTATCAGCATTTTTGGAGGTGTCTTGGGCTGGCAAAAGCCTCTGCACTCTGCCTCGAGATTGTGACTCCAGCCCAATCTCTTGTTTGCTCTTCTGGGGGAGGACAGAGGTGTTGATTGTGGAGGGATCCTGGGCAGGGCAGGCACCTACTCTGCTTTGTTCACTTGCTGCAGTCCCAGGCAGTCCCGGGGCTCGGACACCTCGCCCCTGACCCGGCGGAAATCCTACGACCGTGGGCAGCCTGCCAGGTGAGCTCGGGACAAACACTGACATGGGCAGGGGGGCTGTGTGGCCCAGGATTCTTTCTGGGCCCAGTCAGGTGCCAGGTGAGCAGTTCCAAGTCATGTGTCCCTCTGATCCTTTGGCTTAGGCCTGCAGACATTGGCTTCACACCGCCCTCCTCCCCACCCACCCGTCCGCGCAACGACCGCAACGTCTTCTCCCGTCTCACGAGCACCCAGAGCCAGGGATCTGCCTTGGACAAGTGAGTCCTGCTGGGGTGAGGGTGTCTGAGGAGGGGAACCCAGACTAGGATAGCACATGGCCTGTACTGAGTCCTGTGGGGGTATAAAGCATCACCAGGGCTTGGATTGGCTCCAGCCAGTGTCCTGTCACCTCTTCACCTCCCTGCTCCTCCCCGTGATGGAGCAGCTGCCGTGCCAGGGCTGTGCTCCTGCCCACTGTGCCCTCTGAGCTCACAGTGCTGGCCTCTGCCTGCAGACAGACTTGGAGCCCTGGCAAGATGAGGGAGCAGGATGGGTGAGGGGATGAGGGCTCAGAGGAAGCTGATGGACTGGCATCCAGCCACAAGTGCTGCTCCAGCCTCTCCTGGCAACAGGTCAGGTGCTGCTCTGGGCTTGCTAGCAGCGCTGGTGTTCCCTGATGGAGACCTGCTGTCTGTTCCTCCTGCTCTTCTGCTCTCCCCTGGTTCTCCATGTGTGCTTCTCCTTCTCCCTCCCTCCTCTCCTTCTCTCTGTCCTACACTGGCTTGGATGCAATAACAATCTTCCACCTCTGACTCCACTGCTGCCTTCTCTAGTCTGGGTTTTCTCTCCCATAATCCTGCTAATTTTCTGCCCCTAGGTCTGATGACAGCGATTCCTCTGTCTCGGAGGTGCTGAGGTATAGACAATTCTATTTATTATCCCTTCCTCTGCTCCTCCTTCTCTCTGTCAGATGCCTGCTCTCCCTGTCCCTGCATGCTCTGCCTGCAGCTTGCTGCTCTCCCCCATCCCAGCCTGTGTGTCTGTCCCCCTGGCATGCCACCTCTGGTGCCTGATGCTGTCAGTTCAGGCTGTTCCTGCTTGGATTAGCCCTTGGTGCGTGGTGCTGGGCTCACTGGTGGGTGCTGGCTGCTTTGGGTTGGCAGCATGTTCTCCTCCAGCTCTGGTGGGTTCTTGCCAGCATGAGGCCACCATGTGCCAGCCCTTCCCCAGCTCTCCAGCAGGATGGTGAGATGATGGGGAAGGGTGCTTGCAGTACATCCTTTGTGCAAGCTTCTTCCAGGCAGTTATCTCAGGTTCAGCTCGTGCCTGGTTGTGCTGCCCTGGTGCTGAGTTGGAAAAGGTCAGTCTGTCCCTAAAGAAATCAAGTCAGATTGTGGTGCACAGCTCAGCCTTGGAGTTAATGTTCTCCTGGGCTTCTCTCCCTGCATCCACCACTACAGAGGTTTCCCAGAACAGGGGCCACATTTCCCCCATCCTTTAGGAACATTTCAGCCTTCCAGTGCCTAAAGGGGCTTGTAACAAAGAGGGAGAGCAACTTTGTACATGGGCAAATAGTGACAGGACAAGGGGGAGCAGTTTAAAACTGAAAGAGGAGAGATTGGGCTAGATGTTAGGAAGGATTTCTTCCCTGTGAGGGTGGGCAGGCCCTGGCACAGGGTGCCCAGAGCAGCTGTGGCTGCCCCATCCCTGGGAGTGTCCAAGGCCAGGTTGGATGGGGCTTGGAGCACCCTGGTGTAGTGGAAGGTGTCCCTGTCATGGCATGGACATGGAATGAGAGGGTGTCTAAAGTCCCTTGCAACCCAAACCATTCCATGATTCCATGATCAGCTGTCCCTCACTCAGGTGTCCCCTCCCTCTGTTTGTGCCCTGAGCTCCTGCAGACCCCTGTGACAGGGGAGGTGACACCAGACCAGTCTGAGAGGGTCACCCTGGGCAGTTTGTGGTCAGGCAGCCTCTCAAAGTCCATGGAAGATGCAGTGCAGGGATTTCCCCTTGGATTCAGTGTTGCTTTGAGGCTGCTGGAAGCACTGGGGGCGAGGGGAGGGCTGTTGGCTTGGCTTTGTAAGTGCAGAGCTGAGGAACATCACATGCATGTGATTTCCACACCCAATTAATGAGCCTGTGCTTGTCCTCACAACTAATGCAAACCTTGCCCTTCTCTAGCCCCATGCATCAGTTTCCCTGCCTGTAAGAAGAAATTAGCACAACTTTGGGTGTTGTGGCTGTGCTTGATGACCAGGTCACACACAGGAGGGTCAGGCTGGGGGTGCTCAGCACCCTGAGCATGTCTGAAGTGGAGGGTTTGGGAGATGATGTCCCCCAGGACACAGAGCAGTGTTCCTTGGCAGGGTAGGTGCTGTCCTGCCCAGAGCCAGCAGTGGGGGCAGGAACAGCCATTGCAGCAGGGATGTGGGGGGCAGATGCTGGTGCTGCCCTTTGTCACCCTTGGGATCTGTGTGAAGGAGCAAGGCCCTGTCTTCTAATGCCACCAGCCAGAGGGTGACAGCCTCCAGGGGATGGGGTGCTGATACTGGAACTCTGAAACATTATCCCAGCAGAGCTTCAGCTTCAGGCTGGAGAGTCCACAAATGGACCTGAGGCCAAGGGCTGAGTCTCCTGAACTGTCCTGGGTCTGTGCTGGTGAGGCAGGAGAGGTTTGGAGGGAGAGCAGAGGTCACTGGGCAGCCTCCCCCTTTCCCTGTGTGATGGCAGGGGCAGAGGTGGGCAGGGGATGCCCATGGGGACATTCTGGGGTTTCCACAGAGACCTCAGCTCAGACAGGCCAGGTTCAGGTGGAGCAGTGTCTCACTCTGGGCTGGGTGTGAGGCTGCTCATGTTCTCCCATGCCCTGGGGCAGAGGGCACCGTGCCCCTCCACCCCACACTGTACCTGTTCTCTCTCTCCTGTGAAGGGGCATCATCAACCCGGTGGGTGGCACCAAGAATGCCAGGACAGCCCCTCTGCAGTGTGTCTCAGTGGCAGAGGGACACACCAAGCCTGTGCTCTGCCTGGATGCCACCGATGAGCTGCTCTTCACGGGCTCCAAAGGTGGGTGATGGGCTGGGAGGATGCAGAGGAAGCGTGGGCATTACAGGGATGGTTCCTCTCTTCAGTGTTGACCCCTGCCCCTGTGCTGGGGCTGCCTGGCCCCTTTCCTCTGGCCCTGTGGGTGGGGGGACATCCTCATAGGGAATATTGTCCCCATGTCCTTGGAGGAGACACCCTCAACACTCCTGGGCGTGTTCTTCCTCCCACAGACCGCAGCTGCAAGATGTGGAACCTGGTGACAGGCCAGGAAATCGCCTCTCTCAAGGGCCACCCCAACAATGTGGTTTCCATCAAGTACTGCAGCCACACGGGGCTGGTGTTCACCGTGTCCACGTCCTACATCAAGGTGTGGGACATCCGCGACTCCGCGCGCTGCGTCCGCACCCTCACGTACGTCAGCTCGGGCACCTGGGCACTCTGGGCTCCTCTGGCTCTGCAGAAGCCTTTACAGAACCTACAGGGGCTGGGACATGGCCAGATAGAGCTCCTTAGTGCCAGTTTGGAGTGCTGCTCCCCTAGGGAACAGGGAGGGTGGGAGAGTTTGGGGTGAGGGAGTTCATGGGGACTCCTGCAGGAAAAACTTGTGGTCATAAAATCACAGAATATGCTGAGTTGGAAGGGACCCATCAGGATCATCATATCCAATTCCTGACCCTGCACAGACACCCCAACAATCCCACCCAGTGCCTGGGAGCATTGTTCAAACACTTGAGCTCAGACAGGCTCGGAGCTGTGCCCATTTCCTGGGGAGTCTGTTCAGTGCCCCAGCACCCTTTGGGGGAAGAACCTTTTCCTGACATCCAACCTAAACATCTCCCAGCTCAGCTCCAGGCATTCCTGTGAGTCCTGTCACTTGTCATGAGAGGAAAGAGATCAGTACCTGCCCCTCTGCTGTCCCTCATGAGGATGTTGAAGGCCCCAGTGAGGTCTCCCCTCTAGGCTGAACAAACCAAGTGCCCTCAGCTGCCCCTCATGAGCGTTCTCCTCCAGACCCTTCACCATTCTCATGGCCCTCCTTAGGATGCTCTCCAATGGCTTAATGTCTTTTTTATATTGTGGTGCTCAAAACTGAGGGCTTGAGGTGAGGCTGCCCCAGTGCAGAGCAGGGCAGGACAATCCCCTCTGCCCAGCTGGCAATGCTGTGCCGGGTGTGTCCAGGCCATGGATGTCCCTCCTGGCTGCCAGGGCACTGCTGACTCATATTCATTGACCAGGATGCCCAGGTCCCTTCCCACAGCTGCTCTCCAGCCTCTGTTCCCTGCAGGGTTGCTGTGTCCCAGGTGCAGAATCCAGCACTGTTAAGGGTCAGGAGCTTTGAAGAGATCTTGCAGCTGTTCTGAGAGCTGGCAGCTCCCATGGGGGGCACAGCCCCAAACAGCAGTGTCTGGGTAAATCACAGCCTCTTCAGTGGGAATCATGGGGCTCTGTGAGGAGTTTGAGGACCAGAAAGGAGCGTGGAACAGACTGTAGCTGTGGCTGCCAGTCTGGAGTAGGGCTCCAAGGTTAGGACAGGATGGTAGGGAGTAATAGCAGCCTCCTTGAGCCAGGTCTCATGAGCTCTTGGAGGTCTATTAGTCACCCAAGATAGCTCAGCTACCTTTGGAGGCATAAAATCAGCAGGATGGCTCCTGTGGCAGTGTTGGAAACAAAAAGGTTTAATAAATGCAAAATAACAAACAGAAAAATTGAGCCAAGTCCAAGAGGTTGCTCCTGCTAAAACACCCCACAAAAGCAATTTGTTTCTTTGGTCTCTTCTTTTTCTAGTAAATTGTCCAGGTGGGACTTTTTGGCTTCTGTCCAATTGGCTATCCTTAAGTTTGAGGTGAAGTCCCCCAGGTCTGTGAGGTGGCTTTTTCACCTAACTGAGGAGAGAAACTTTTGGGCTCCTTTCCTTTTTAAGGGGACAAAGGACAGTTTTGTCACTCTGTCAGCACGGGGCACATTCCTATAGCAGGTCAGAGCTACCCACTTGCTGTGGCACAGGTCTCCTTTTCCATCCAACCTCAGCTCACCTGCATTAGCTTCTCTCCTGGCACAGAGGCCAAGACCTCCTTTCCCTGTGCTGGATGCCAGCACTCACCAGCCCTTCTGTGCAAGCAGAGAGGCACAGGAGGAGAGCAGGGAACCTCAGCTGGAAGCCAGGGCAGGATGCTCTGAGTCATGCACAGACCCTGATCCTTGGCTGCCTCTACAGGCTGGGCACTGTCCTGTGGGACAAAGCTCCTGTTGGTCCCATTGTGGCCAGAGGGGCAGGGACACTCCAGGGCCTTTCCTCAGTGTGGGACCCAGCTGTGCCAGCCTGGGGACAGCCCTGTGGTTCCTCATCCTTCCTGATGCCTCCGGTTTAGCTTTTCTATTTTTCAGGTTCTGTGCTGCTTTAGTGTGTGGGTCTGGGCTTCACATTATGGGATGGTGAGCTCTGTTCACAGAGCAGGGAGACAAAACAATTCCTGCTCCAGCTGGGGACCAAGGACAAATGATCCAAACCTCAGCCCAAGAGCACAAACGACATGAACTAAAGACAGAAAAACAAGCAGGATGGGGCTTCATGGGTTAAAGCTGTAATTGGACAATTAACCCCAATATGCAAATGGACCAAAACTTATAAAAGTGAGAGACCCCATGACCTGTCATCCATTTTGTGGCCATTTTGGTTCACCTGGGGTGTAGCCCTGGCTGCTGTTGGAATACAAGCCCCTCATGGCACAGGCCTGGAGGGAAATCTAAGCACAAGGATTGAACTGAAACTCCTGGAGAAACTGAGATATATAAAGCTACAAAGTGAAATAGAATTATAGATTTAGTATATAGATTTTAGCTTTTAGTAGAAACTTATACTAAGTGCCTTGGGTATCTAAAAAGCTGCAATAGAGAACAAAAGCTTTTTTGTCTTTAGGCACAATTCTACCATAGTAGTGGTATTTTTATAAGGCTGCTTTGCCTCAGACAAAATGTAAATTGCTGGGCTCTTGTGCTGCCCAAGGTGGATCCATTGAGGCCTTCTAATAAAGCCCTACTTTATTCTTTAGCTCTGTCCAGCCTCTGTTCTAGGCTCTGTTCAGCCTTGACAAGGCATCACCTGTGGTAATCACATATCCTCTGAACAGAGAGAGACATAACTCTCTCCCAAGATTTTCCTGGGAAGCTGTGAGAAGCTCAGGGAAAAGAATGAGAAACAATTCTTATCTCCACTTGCTGCACCTGTCGTTGTGCACATGTGGAATGTGTTATGGAGATTGTTTACCAAAGGGTGATTTTATAATTGGTCACTGATGATGGTGTTTTGGATTCAAGGACCAGTTAGGTCAAAGCTGTATCAGACTGTCTGCAAGGGCAGCGGGGGTCTGATGGCTCAACCTGGACACCACAACCTTTCCAGAGAGAGGTCCTGCAAGAGACAACTTTCTAGGGGTCTCAGGCAATCCTTCAGCCACAGGGTAACCTCAGCAAGGACAGCCAGCTCAGCTCTGAGCAGGGATTTCAGCTCTCAGTGATTTCAGCTCTTGGTGATTTCAGTTCTGCCTTGCAAGGTGTCCCCAGGCCAACACAGGGACAAAGAGACAGGAGCTCTGTGTTGTTATTCCACAGAGTTCCTTTATTCCAGCACCCTGTGAAGGAGGCCAGGGACAGCAGCTCCCACCTGAACAGGGCAGAAACTGGGGGTTTATGGGGAAAAGCAGGGGTAGTACAAAAGGGGAAAAACCAATTAGTCCCAACAAATCTACATGGGGTTCCAAAGTGTGCTGGGAACTCACCATGACCAAGGAGGATTTCTTAATCCGTGAGAGTTTCAGAAGATCTTATCAGAGCCCATTCAAGGGATACCTCTCAAAGAGAGAGGGCTGGCATGCCCATCTGTCTCCACAGATGGGTTTTTTTCTAATAGGATAATGTAGTATTATAGGATAATATAGTATTATAGTATAATATAGTATTATAGTTATATCAGGGCACCCCCATCACAGGAATGATTGACATCTGACTCCAAGACTTTGGAATGCTGAACACTTGCTATATTACACTGTATTGTACTAGATCTATATTACAAAGAATGCTAAAGAATACTAAAGAAAACTTGTGACTGTCTCTTGAGTCAGGCAGCTTTGTGTGATTGGCCAAGGAAACAAAACCATCCTCAGCAAAATCCAATTACCAAATTCCTTCAGGTAAACAATATCCTAACACATTCCATGTGTGCAAAACAACAGGAGCAGAGAATAGAGATAAGTTTTTCTCTTCTCTGAGGCTTCTCTCTGCCGTTCCCAGAAAATCCTTGGGAAAAATTGTGTCTTGCTTTTCTCTGTGAAGAGAAATGTGGCTACACAGTATAGGATAGTAGAATAAAGGTATAGGCGGGGGATGGTGTGGCTGGACAGTGCCCAGAAAGGGCCCTGGGGGTGCTGGTGACAGCAGGCTGAACATGAGCCAGCAGAGTGCCCTGGTGGCCAAGAAGGCCAATAGCTCCTGGCCTTGATCAGGAATGGTGTGGCCAGCAGGAGCAGGGAGCTCATTCTGCCCCTGCACTTGGGACAGGTGAGGGCACATCTTGAGTGCTGTGTCCAGTTTTGGCCCCTCAGTTTGGGAAAGACATTGGGACATTTGAGCACATCTAAAGGAGGGCAATGAGGTTCGTGAAGGGCTGGGAACACAAACTCTGTGAGGAACCACTGAGGGAGTGGGGATGCTCAGCCTGGAGAAGAGGAGACTCAGGGCTGCCCTCATCACTCTCTACAACTTCCTGAAGGGTTGTAGTTGGTGGGAAGTCAGTTGTAGTCAAATGTGGCTGGGCTCTTTCTCCAGGCAGCACTGACAGAACCAGAGGTCACAGCCTCAAGCTACATCAAGGGAAATATAGGTTGGATATCAGGAAAAAGTTTTTCATGGAAAGGGTGATAAAGTTCTGGAATGGCTGCCCAGGAAGGTGGTGGAGTCACCATCCCTGGGGGTATTTAAAAAGGATGTGTTTAACGAAGGCTGGATGTGGCACTGGGTGCCAGGGTTGAGTTGAGGTGTTGGGGCTGGGTTGGGCTTGATGATCTTTGAGGTCTCTTCCAACCTGGTCATTCTGTGCATTCTGTGATTGCCCAGCCTCCTGCAATCACAGACTCAACGCTAATTACTCCCCAGCAGGTACAATCCATCACCCCTTTGAACTCTGCCCCTTCAGGTCGTCGGGCCAGGTGATCTCTGGGGACGCGTGTGCCGGGACCAGCAGCCGCACGGTCACCAGCGTGCAGGGCGAGCACCAGATCAACCAGATCGCGCTCAACCCTGCGGGCACCGCGCTCTACGCGGCCGCCGGCAACGCCGTGCGCGTCTGGGAGCTCAGCAGGTCAGGGATGGGGATGAGCTGGGCAGGGATGGGGCTGAGCTGGGCAGGGATGGGGCTGAGCAGGGCAGGGATGGGGCTGAGCTGGGCTGGGATGGGGCTGAGCTGGGCAGGGATGGGGCTGAGCTGGGCAGGGATGGGGGCTGAGCAGGGCAGGGATGGGAGCTCAGCAGGGCAGGGATGGGGCTGAGCTGGGCTGGGATGGGGCTGAGCTGGGCAGGGATGGGGCTGAGCTGGGCAGGGATGGGGCTGAGCTGGGCAGGGATGGCGGCTGGGCAGGGATGGGGCTGAGCTGGGCAGGGATGGGGGCTGAGCTGGGCAGGGATGGGGCTGAGCTGGGCAGGGATGGGGGCTCAGAGTGGCATGAAATGATGCCCCTGGGGGAAATGAAATGATCCCCCTGGGCAAAACAAAGTTATCCCCTTGGGCGAAATGAAATTTTCCCCCTAGGGGAAATGAAATAATCCCCTGGGCAAAATTAAAGCCTTTTCCACAGCAGGAATTGCCTGGAATAAGGATTTTCAGGATGCCTTCCTATGAGATCCTAGTGGTTTTGGTTTAAAAAATGTTAAATATTTTTTAAGATTTAAGTTTAAGATTTTCTTAAATCTTTTTATTTATTAAATGTAAGATTTTCTTAAATCTTAAGTTTTTTAAATTTAAGATTTAAGATTTTCAATTTTTTAAAATTTAAGATTTTTTTTAGATCATAACTCTCAGTTTAAGAATTAAAGATTAGTTTAAGATTTAAAATTTAAGGTTTTAAATATTTCTTAAATTTAACATTTATGTAAAATTTAAGATTTTAATTTTTTTAAAAAGTTAAGATTTTTTAAGATCATAAATCTTAATTTAAGAATTAAAGATTAATTTAAGATTTTTTAAGATTTAAATTTAGGATTTTCTTAAATTTAACATTTTTAAATTTTCTTAAATATAAGATTTTTAAATTTAAGATTTTTAATTTTTAAAAATTTAAGATTTTTTTAAAGATAATAAATCTTAATTTAAGAATTAAAGATTAATATAAGATTTAAGACTTAAATTTAGGATTTTCTGAAATTTAAGATTTTTAGATTTATATTTTAAATTTTTTAAATTTTAAGATTTTTTAAAGATCATTAATCCTAATTTAAGAATTAAAGATTAATTTCTATTTGTTATTTAAATTTAAAGTCTTCTTAAATGCGCACTGGGCAGAGCTTAGCAGAAAGGAAAAGACAAAAATGGGATGAGCAGCAGGGCCCTGGTTTCTCCTTGTCCTTCTACCTGCCCAGGGCTGTGAACCCTGTGCTGCAGCCTGGGCTCTGCAGCCACATGTTGGCACACTCTCAGGATGCAGAGCCAGACGTCGGCACTCTCAGCCTGCCCTCCTCCCCTGGATCACGCGCAATCAGCTCTCCCTGCCCGCTCTGTCCCAGCTGGGGCACCCAGGGAGGGCTGGGGGAGGCGGGGGTGTGAGGGCCCTCAGGATGGGCCCCAGCACACGCAAGGGCTGAGCTGTGCCCTTGCTGCCCTCAGGGGCTGAGCTGTGCCCTTGCTGCCCTCAGGGGCTGAGCTGTGCCCTTGTTCCCCTCACAGGGGCTGAGCTGTGCCCTTGCTGCCCTCAGGGCCTGAGCTGTGCCCTTGCTGCCCTCAGGGGCTGAGCTGTGCCCTTGCTGCCCCCTCAGGGGCTGAGCTGTGCCCTTGCTGCCCTCAGGGGCTGAGCTGTGCCCTTGCTGCCCTCACAGGGGCTGAGCTGTGCCCTTGTTCCCCTCACAGGGGCTGAGCTGTGCCCTTGCTGCCCTCAGGGCCTGAGCTGTGCCCTTGCTGCCCTCAGGGGCTGAGCTGTGCCCTTGTTCCCCTCACAGGGGCTGAGCTGTGCCCTTGCTGCCCTTGCAGTGGCTGAGCTGTGCCCTTGTTCCCCTCACAGGGGCTGAGCTGTGCCCTTGCTGCCCTCACAAGGGCTGAGCTGTGCCCTTGCTGCCCTCAGGGCCTGAGCTGTGCCCTTGCTGCCCTCAGGGGCTGAGCTGTGCCCTTGCTGCCCTCACAGGGGCTGAGCTGTGCCCTTGTTCCCCTCACAGGGGCTGAGCTGTGCCCTTGCTGCCCTCGCAGGGGCTGAGCTGTGCCCTTGTTCCCCTCACAGGGGCTGAGCTGTGCCCTTGCTGCCCTCACAAGGGCTGAGCTGTGCCCTTGTTCCCCTCACAGGGGCTGAGCTGTGCCCTTGCTGCCCTCACAGGGGCTGAGCTGTGCCCTTGCTGCCCTCAGGGGCTGAGCTGTGCCCTTGCTGCCCTCAGGGGCTGAGCTGTGCCCTTGTTCCCCTCACAGGGGCTGAGCTGTGCCCTTGCTGCCCTTGCAGTGGCTGAGCTGTGCCCTTGTTCCCCTCACAGGGGCTGAGCTGTGCCCTTGCTGCCCTCAGGGCCTGAGCTGTGCCCTTGCTGCCCTCAGGGGCTGAGCTGTGCCCTTGCTGCCCTCACAGGGGCTGAGCTGTGCCCTTGTTCCCCTCACAGGGGCTGAGCTGTGCCCTTGCTGCCCTCGCAGGGGCTGAGCTGTGCCCTTGCTTCCCTCAGGCTGCAGCCCGTGGGGAAGCTGAGCGGCCACATCGGGCCCGTGATGTGCCTCACAGTGAGCCAGACACCCAGCAACCACGACTTGGTGGTCACAGGCTCCAAGGATCACTATGTCAAGGTACTCTGCTCCTTGGGGAGCAGCACCCCCAGTCCTGTAGCATCCCATGAACTCTCCCCCCTTGGTCAATCCCCAAGCCCAGAGCCCTGGAAACATCATTAACACTTACTATAGATCATCCCTTCCAAAGGGAAAAACAGTCTCCCCCATGGACTTGGTGTCACAACTTCCTCTGGTTTCTCCTTCCCCTGTCACTGGTTTGGTACCCCTGGTACCACCCCCCTACCCCTGGAGGCCAGGCCCCTCTGCCCCCCACCCCTTCCCCTTTATGAGCTCCTGCTCCTCCTGGTTCTTCCTCTTTCCCTGGGTTTGTCCTTCAGGGACTGATTTACCCTGCTGGAATAAACCCTTGCAAAAGAGCCTTTCTTGCCTCTGATGCTGATCCAGCTGTGGTGAGTGTGAGTGGAGGTTTGACTGCATTGCCTGAGTGTTAACTCAGCCCTGCCTTTCAACAGGAGAGGCTTGCTGGGGACCAGAGACAGGCAGCAGCACCTACCACCTTAACACTCACATTTTTAAAGTCCTGTAGGGAAGCCCAGATGTTGAGAACCCCTCACTCTTCTCTCCTCCTGAGAGCTGAGCCCAGATTCTGTTTTCACCTCTGCATGTGAGGTTCTCCCTTGTTTCCTCTTCCCAAATCTTGCCTTTTGCTTGGTTCACAGTGCACCTTTGATGCATAAGAGAAATGCAACTTCTTCTCCAGACTCTCTGGGTGTGATTTGCATGTGAGGGCTGACCCAGATGAGCAGTTCACCCTGTTCTGCTCAATAATTCCCCATTGATAAAGATGTCTTGTGCCTGCTCAGTCACAGCTCCAGCACAGCAGGAGCCTGTTCCTTCCTTTCAGGTTTTAGCAGGTTTCACTAGAGCTGTCCCCAGGGAAGTGGGGAGGGGTGGTGAGATGGTGAGACAGATCCCCCTGAGCTGTCACCATGGCTCCAGAGTAGTGTGCAGGCTCACCATGACTAAAATGCAGCAGAGTGGGGCTGTCCCTGGTGGCAGATCTCCTCTGCTTGTGGCAGGACCCTCAGCCCCAAAAGCCTCCAGCAGCCAATGCCCAGTCCCATTCCCAAAATCACTGTTTGTGTCCCTGAGCCTGGGACACAGAGGGTGGTGGCCAAACTGCCCAGGGGAGGGAGTCCCCAGTGCCATCTGTGGTTTGTTACCTGCTGCTCTCCCCCAGGTGTTTGAGATCACGGAGGGCATGGTGGGCAATATCAGCCCCACTCACAACTTCGAGCCCCCTCACTACGATGGCATCGAGTGCCTGGCCATCCAGGGAGATGTCCTCTTCAGTGGCTCCAGGGACAACGGCATAAAGAAGTGGGATCTGGAGCAGCAGGAGCTTATCCAGGTCTGGAGGGGAGCACAGGGCAGGGGAGGGTTGCTGCTGGGGCCTGGGGGTTGTCCAGGAACCTGGTGCCAGTGGAGCGGGCACTTACAGTCCTGGGCCATGAGTGGGTGAGGGTGTGCTGTGCCCCCATAATTTGTCCAGCAGGGTGCTTGGGATTGCTGGCTCTCCTTCAGACAGGCTGAGGCATCAGTTGCAGTGTGGGGGCTTGTGTTCCACCCTGAATTCTGGGTTGTTGTCTCCTGCCCAAGGGAGAAACCAAGCCATGATTTTGAGCCCACGCCCTTGGCTCCTACCTGGGCACGTCCAGGTAGGTTCAGTCAGTTCTGGGGTGTCAGTGAGGAGCTGAGCTCCCTGGGACAGGGAGGACCCAGCCACCAGGATGGGTGCATGTGGTGTGCAGGTGAGGTTGTTCATGGCTGTGCTCTGTGCCTCCAGCAAATCCCCAATGCCCACAAGGACTGGGTGTGTGCCCTGGCCTTCATCCCCGGGCGCCCCATGGTGCTGAGCGCCTGCCGAGGAGGCGTCATCAAGGTGTGGAACGTGGACAACTTCACCCCAGTGGGGGAGATCAAGGGCCATGACAGCCCCATCAACGCCATCTGTACCAACTCCAAGCACATCTTCACTGCCTCCAGGTGAGCCCCTGGTGTCTGCCCCTGTGGCCCCTGGGAATGGGGAGACCCTGGGTGTGAGCTGTGCCCCCTGGGGCTGGGTGGGTGAGCAGGGAGCGGGGAGGGAATTGCAGCTTTTAGTCCCTCCTTCATCTCCTTGTGCCCACTGTAGCTGCCCACGGCCAGGCCTGCCCACTGCAGTGCCCAGAGCTGTCCCTGGCCACCCCCTGCCCACGCTCTGGTGATGCCCTGGGTTACTCCCCACGCAGGGACCCCTCTCCCTCGGGGCTGGGCATTGGCTGCTGCTCTCGGGGAGCTCTTCAGCAGCAAGACTCTGATATCCTCTTTTCGACCCTGTCCCTTTTCTCCCTTCCTTTTTCTCTGTCTCTCTCTGCCTCTCCTTCTCCCCCCCTCCCATCTGTGCCACAGTGACTGCCGGGTAAAGTTATGGAATTACGTGCCTGGGCTCACCCCTTGCCTTCCACGACGCGTCCTTGCCATAAAGGGCCGTGCTACTAGTCTGCCTTGACCCTCCTGCTCTTGACTCTCTTGCTCATATGCTCCTCTTCTGTCTCTCCTTCCCTTTTCTCTCCATCTCTCCCCTCTTTCTGTCCCTCTCACTGTTGCTTTTGCTCCTCTCTCTCTTTCCCTCCCCCCCCCCGTTTTTTCTCTGGTCTGAGCTGCTTCTTCACGGTATGAAACTATTCTGAGTTTTTCTCCACTTGATTAGTCTTTGTTAGAATGGACTCACCCCCTTGGCCCAGTCATCCCCTGCCTTGGTTTCACTTTTTGGTTTTTTTTCCTCGCCAAGTGCCCACATCTACTTTGGCACCTCAGTGGGAAGCCACGGCCTGCCCGTGCCTTTGCATGGATAGTGGGTTGGGAGTCAGCAGCCACCCCCAAATCAGCCCATGCCCCAGGAGCAAAGCAGCTCCCTGGATTTCACTGCTGGAGCTCATTCAGGGCGGGTAGGAGTCCTGGTGCGGGGTCACCCTTTCCCTTTGTCCCCAGCTGCTGCCAGAGGGGTGAGCTGGAGGCTGAGCCCCATTGGGTTTGCCTTCTCCCCAAAGTGCACCAGACAATTCCTGCCAGGGGAGAAGGGCCTGGAAGCTTGGAGGGCTGCATGTTGCCGTGGTGGGGAGGGGAGGGCAGTGAGCACCCTGTGGGCAGTGCTGTGGGGCTCCTGCCCCAACCCCTGGGTCATGCTGTCCCTCTCACCTTTGCTCCTCAGCGACTTGACAGTGAAGCTCTGGAGTGGGAGGAGGTTGCCTGCGGGGTCAAACTAGGAACTGCACAAAGACTGCAAGGCGTGGGCAGGGTGAGGGGCAGGGCACCTCCCCTGCTCTCAGTGAGGACTCAGCCACCCACAGGAGCTCAGCCCAGCACAGGGGTTTCTTTGTGCCTGACCCAACGGGGTGGACAATGCTGCATCTGGTACTCTGGTCAGCTCCTGTGAGGAAGCAGCTCTGTGGGGCAGCAGCAGCTCCACCTGCCCTCCTGCTGAGGTTTCTGATGGTTCTCCAGTGAACAGGAAATGTTTCATCTCTCACCATCCTGCTGTAAGGACTTTGGGGGTCAGAGGTCCCTGACTCCTCAGAGACACCCAGCTCCCTCCTGCCATGGCTCTGCCGTGCTGTGCTGCTCCTGGGCTGGTTCCTGCAGGAGTCTTCTCCACTCCACGAGGACATTTGGTGTCTGCTGGCCAGGACCACCACACAGAGGATGCTTCTCTGGAGCCATTACTTGTGAGACACCTCTGCTGTGCGGACTGCAGAAGGATTTCCTGGTACTCCCAGCCTTCCCTTTCCTGTGTGGACGTGTCCCAGTGGTTGGAGGGAGCACTCTGAGCTCCTTTGCCATGTCCCATCTCGTGAGTTACAGCAAGTCTGGGATGTTCTCCATTGGGCAGCTGCCAGACTGACCTGCTACAGTTCCTTTGACATTCTCCAAACCCCACTTGTAAACTCAACTGCCCCCTGGCTCTGGGCTCTTTCCCACATACCCAGCCTGCTCAGCCCTGCTCTGGACATCCTGACCCCATCAGGGCTTTGTGCTGGGTTCCTGCACCAGTTAACCCCCTTGGGATGGAGAAATGAAGCAAGAATGGAGCTTACAGGGCAGAAAGGCCAAGGCTGGATTTGGCACCCCACTGCTGTGGCTCTGTCTGTCCTTCCCTTGGGTTCTGCCCTCAGACTCTGCCTGGACTGGAGCTTGCTCAGGCTGGGCCTGCATGGATGCAAGGCTGGAGAGGAGCCAGCAAGGCAGGGAGCAGCAGCCAGAGTCACTGGCAGGAGCAGAGGGGGACAGGGTTGCACACTGATCTTGCACAAGTCCCTGACTCCCCCTGTGCTGGAAGGACAATCCTGCAGTGGATGATCTCGCACAATCTCATCTCCTGGAGGGTCTGGGGGCTCCACCCTGGAGTGTTTCCCCAAGGACATTCTGCAGGCTCTTTCCTCTGTCTCTCCTGTTCCAGAGGGGCTGGTAAGGCCCTGGTCACACACTGGAGCTTCCCTCAATCTCTCCTATGGCCCACTGGACCATCCCCTGCTCTGTCCTGCCTTGTGGAATGGCCGAGGAGACCCCAGGATGGGTGTTCCTGCCTCACACACTCTCCTTTCCCCTTTGTCACAGAAGAAGCAGCACTTGAACTCAAATTTAAGGATTTCTCCATGTGATCCCGCAGCACTGAACTGGGATCTTGGAGGCCAGGGGCTCCAGGACCTGCCCCATCAAGCACAGACCATTTCCCCTCTGCTCTCTCCAACCACGGTGATACCATGACCTGCCCCAGCTCATCTGCCACCAACCCTTGTTCCAAGCACTCTGGCTGGAGTGAGGGGATCCCTCTGCATCTCTGCATCATGAAAGACAGGAATTTCTGTATTGATTTGGTGGGGGAAGGGGAGGGTTGCCTTTTTTTGGGAAAATTCCATCCTGCTGGCTTGCCTTGTTGGAGGGTAAATGGTACATGTGTGTGAGTGTGTCTGTGTGTCTGTCTGTCTGCGTGTGTGTGTGACCCTGCCAGGACAGTCCCTGCTCCCTGTGAGTGTGGCTGAGCCCTGCGCAGCCAGGACTGGTGGCTGTGCTGAGGAGAGGCTCCCATCCATCCTGTGTGACCTGTGCAGGCCAGAAGTGCACAGAGAGCTCAGCACCCAGTGGCACACAGCCCTGGGGGTCTGCAGGAGGTGTCTCCCACCCCCCAGGCCTGTCTTGGAGGGGTTTTTACACTCATCCCTCAGCTGGTTTGGCTGGAGGGGCTCTGTGTGTGTGTGGCTGTCTCTGGGAAGTGTTTGGCTGTAAGTATTGAATCTGTGTGCTCTGAGATCTCCAGTGCCTGCCCTGAGCATTCCCTGCTGCCATGGCTGGAGGGGGCACCCAGGGTCAGACCTGCCTTGCCTTTGCCCCCAACACCTCTCTGTGTGCAGGCTGAAAGGGCCTGTTCAGTCCTCCAGGGCTGAGTGACCAGTCCTGAGCCTCTCCTGCTGCTGTGTTCAAGCTCTCACAGCCCATGGAGGGAGGGAGCCGGTGCTGGGGCATTGCTGTGAGGCAGGGGGTTTGAAGGGAGGAGAGCCCTGATTTAGGAATAGCATTCTCCCATTTAGTGCTCCCACTAAAACCCCCATCCCCAGCAGGGTGGAGAGGCGAATTGGAGGCACAAAAGGTGAAGATCACAGGTTGAGATAAGAGCAATTTGCTGGAAACAGCAGTGAGATAAAAAGCAAACAGGAAGACAGCAGCAATGTTAATAACAAAAGCATAGAAAAGAGAGAATGATTCACATGCAGAGTGCTCGCCCTGACCTGAGCACAGCCATATTCTACTGACCAGAGTTGACCTCTCCTCTGAGGAGAAGAGATGGATCCTCCCCTGTGTGTCTCCATGGCATCAGTACATTGTGACCAAGCCTTACACTGCTGTGGATCTGCTGGGCCAGCCTTGCATGCACAGCCCAGCAGAGCCCAGTGCTGCTGTCCCCCCCTGGCTGCAGGCAGGCCCTCTGGGTGCTCACTGCTCACTGCTGCAGCTGTGGAGGTGCACTCAGGGCGATCAGAACTGACATTAGCCCTGTTGTTCTGTCTGAGCACATGCCCACTGGAAGCTGGGCTGGCATTTATCCCTGAAGAATTCCTGCAATTGTTGTTTTCCCTCTCAACTGACACACCCATGTTTCTGGGGCAGAGGTGGGTTTTCCTTCCCAATTCTCCTTTCCTCTCTGTGCTCATGCAGGTAAAACCATAGGATGCCTTGTGGTGTGCCAGTTGCTGCCAGCAGCAGAGGCTCTGGTCTGTACTGGTGTGACATGGGACATTTCCTCACTCCACAGCCCTGGACTGGAGGATAAGTCCAGTCCTAAATTGGAACTGAGCTGCTCCAGTTTGGACAGTCTTTTTACACAGCTGAGACACAGGTTGGTAGGAAGGAAAAACAATGATCTTCATCATCAGAGTTGGGGAGTCACCTTTAACACTGTTTGTTCTGTTCAGATCTCTGAAGAACCTCCCCAGAAATCTCTTTCTTGACTCCAAAGATTATGTGGACTGCACTAAGGACACCTGGCAAAATTATTTCCTTAACATCCCAAGAGAATTCAGACCTTCAGAAGCTGTTTGAACAGAACTCAAGGGAGAAAAGTGGGTGAAAGTCTGGGGAAAATCATCTTCCCATGTTCCCCCATGGGGTGGTCATGGTTGTTATTAATGGAGTCCCAAAGGAAGTGCCCCAGGTAGGGGTAGAAGAGCAACACTCAAAACAGCCCTTGATGTTATCATGTCATAAACAGAGCAATCCTGATCCCCTCCCTGCTCTGAGGCAGAGGCTGTGATGGGAGCAGACAGAAATATATGCAGGGTTGGGTACCCACATGGGCAGAGCAGGCAATGCTGTCACCAGTGGCTCAGTACCCAATACAGAAAATGCTGAGATCTAATTTGCTTCCAAGCCACTCTGGGCAGATCTGTTGTTATCTCAACTGTTCAAGCCCTACCTTAGATGCCGAAAAAACCCAACAAAAAACTGTTGTGGTTTAGGACTGCTATTCCACAATTTGGTGTTCCCACTACAACTGTGTGCTGCCACAACCCTCGCCTCCTTCCCTCCCTGTGGTGGGATGGAGAGGAGGATTGGAAGCACAAAAGGTAAAAAAATCACAGCAGAGATAGGAACAATTGGCTGGAAACAGCAATGAGATAAGAAAAATGAACAGCAACAATATTAATAACAAAAGTGCAACAATATTGATAACAAAAGTGTACAAAATAGAGCAAATCACCTGCAAATGCTCTCCACAGTGTTACCCTGATTGAAGAGATCCCTTCCCCCTGCCCAGCAATGATGTGAGGTGGCCTAAAAGAACCTCTGGGCTCTGGCCATGTCCCCTCCTGGCTACTGCAAAAATTTAACTCTGTCCTGGCTGGAACCAGGCCAGGGGTGACTGTGACCCCATAGCTCTGTGTGTGTGTGTATGTGTGTGTGTGTGTAGCTCTTAGTTCCTGTGTGGGTTGATGTTTCTCATGCAGAAGAGCATTTCTTGCTGTTGATCTGGTTTAGCTACCTCACGGTGCAAGCTGGGTGCTGTTCTCATTTGGTTTCCTATTGGGGATGGGATGGGGAGTTTGTGGTGTAAGAATTTTTAGTTTTTCTTTTAATTATTGTTATTGTTATGGTTTTGACACTTGAATTCATCCTGGGGACACGTGGTCTCGCTCCCACCTTGCCGCATGTCTGAGCCACCTCCTGTGTCCCCTCCCTGCTCCTCCTGGGCAGGGAGCAGGGCTGGGGTCCCTGCCCCAGTGGGATCCCCCAGAGCAGTTGCAACACCGAGATTTTGCTCCCATTCCTTGTGGGATTCTGAGGATCTGTGGTGTTTCATTGGTGATTGGCTTGGTTGGCAGCCTGGGGGTGGCTCCATCTGGTCCCTTGGAAAGGGGGCTCAGAAAGGCTCAGCTCAGCCCAAATTTCTCCCTCTGCTCTCACAGACGCTCTGTGGATGTGATGGAGCTCTGGGCTGGGGGATGTCTGTGCAAAGCACAATGCTGGGGTGAGCTGCTTCCAGCCACCTCTGCCCAGAGCCTGCTGCTCAGAAAGGCTCAGCTCAGCCCAAATTTCTCCCTGTGCTCACACAGATACTCTGTGTGGATGTGATGAAGCTCTGGGCTGGGAGATGTCTGTGCAGAGCAGAGCAGAGGTGGTTCCAGCCACCTCTGCCCAGAGCCTGCTGCTCTGAAAGGCTCAGCTCAGCCCATATTTCTCCCTCTGCTCTCCCAGATACTCTGTGGCTGTGATGGAGCTCTGGGCTGGGAGATGTCTGTGCAGAGCACATGGCTGGGTGGGCTGGTTCCAGCCACCTCTGCCCAGAGCCTGCTGCAGGTGCTGGGAAAGCCTCTGCCCAGGCTGGCATGGTCTGTGAGAACCTGATTCTGCTGTGATGGATTTCTCACTCCCAAAAACTGTAGTTGTGTCTAGATCCAGTGCCAGGCACTGACCATAAACCAGGGGAGCCCTGGAGCCCCAGCTCAGGCTGGCAGCTGCCCTGGCACAGGGGTCAGGGGGCTCTGGCCCAGTTTGGGGTGCAGGTCCTCCCAAACACTAAAGCACAAGGTCCCACATGCAGTGGCTCTAGGAGGGGTGGCCCCTTGGTCCTGGCCCTCCAGAGCTCCAATGGGACCATGAGGAGGAGGAGGAGGAGGACTGGGCTGAAGGCTCTTTGCCTGTGGGTGAGCTGTTCCATCCCTGCACTGTGCTGGCTGCACACCTGGAGTCCCCTCTGGTGGTCTCAGAGCCCCTCCAGGGCAGGGACACTGGAGCTGCCTTTGTACCACACACCTCACTTTCCTCTGCCCTTGGGCACCTGGATTTGTGACAAGGGTGTGCTCATACCTGCACTCCTCCCTCAGGCTGCTGGGTTGTGCTTCTTTCCCCAGGGCCCAACTCTGGCTCTGGGGGTCTCCTCACCCCCAGCACACAGCTCCAGCCTCTGTGGAGGGAGCAGGGCTGGACCAGAGTCAGGAGCCTGAAAGCACTGGATCCCCAAACCACTGTGAGCCCTCCTGAGCAGTGTCCCCTCCCTGTCACCTACAGCTCTGCTGACACAGGCTGGGCTGGGAGCTCTGGGGTCCCATCCTGTCCCCCCAGGTCCCCTCCTCACCACCTCTGAGCAGCTGCTTTGGGGTCTGAATTGCTGCCTCCTGCCTTGGTGCTGCAAACCCAGTGCCTGCTTCCCATGGTGCTCTCCCAGTGCTCCTCACCCTCACCAGTCCTCCCAGTGCTCCTCACCAGTCCTCCCAGTGCCCTTCACCAGTCCTCCCAGTGCTCCTCACCAGTCCTCCCAGTGCCCTTCACCAGTCCTCCCAGTGCTCCTCACCAGTCCTCCCAGTGCCCTTCACCAGTCCTCCCAGTGCTCCTCACCAGTCCTCCCAGTGCCCCTCACCGGTCCTTCACCAATCCTTCCAGTGCTCCTCACCCACACCAGTCCTCCCAGTGCCCTTCACGAGTCCTTCCAGTGCCCCCCACTGGAGGGAGTCCAGGTACGACCCCTGCCAAGCACAGGGCTCCAGTTTGCTTTCCACATTCTCCCTGGAGCTTCACTGTCTCCTGCAGGCTGCTCGTCCTCCTGAGACCCCGTCACCCTTCTGGGAAGGGACGAGGACCCCCAGCCCCTCCAGGTGCTGCACGGTGCTCCAGCTGTCCAACTGGGACAGACCCAGCTCCCAGAAAAGCACAGCCCTGCACCTTCCTCCTCCTCCTCCCCAGGGCTCATCCCCTCACCCTCCACAGCTCTGCCCTGGTTCCTCCCAGCTGCTCCTCCTGGCCTGGCACCCCCAGGTGCTGCCCCAGCCTGGTGTGGGGCAGCTGCAGCACTGTGTCCCCTGCTCCATCACTCCTCCCTGCACAAGGAGCACAACAGCAGATGCCTTTTCACACTTTTGGGGCTTTTCCCAGAGGCCAGCTGCCCTGGAGGCTGGTGGTGTCTCTGTGGGGGCTGTGCAGCCCGACCCTGGCTGGGTTTGGCAGAGCATGAGGGGTTTGTGTGTGTGTGTGTTTTCTACCTTGGTGTGTTCCTGTAAATACTGTAAGTTATTGTGCTCTCCTGCTGTACGTTTTTCAATGGCTGTTTGTTTCTTGCCTTTTTGTCTTTGCAAATAAAATGTTCTTGACATGAAGGGATGAGCACAGAGGTGGTTTTGAGGAGGGAAAGGGCACAGCCAGGAGCTTCCCATCCTCTCCTGTGCCCATGAGCCTGGCCCAGGGGCTGGGGGATAGATGGGGAGGGGGGACTGTGGCTGCATCTCTTCTGGATGGAGGGGAAAATGTCCCTTCCCATGGCAGGGATTACACGT